CACTTTTACCATGGCGAGGTTTTTCTCCCCTACAGCCACCTGTAGTGCTGTTAAGTTGTCGTCCCCCCTTTTGTTCACGTCGATCGTCGAAGCTCGAGAGCTGAATGGCGTGCTTGAAGCGGCTAGGGTTAAAAGCAGCTCTATTGTTTCCGGGCTTTGCTGTGCCGTCAACTTGCAGAGCCGAGGAAGATTGACTTTTCGGAGAATCAATTTAATGATCTTGTCATTTCTTGTCCCGGCCACCCATGACAAAAATGAAGTTTTGTCATCGATTTTCTCCTTGAGAAGGTCAAGAATGTCTTGGCGGTTGAGAAGATATTCAACGACGCGAATACGGCCCGCTTCCACAGCCCTCATTAACGGTGTTCGACCGCTGTGATCCTTGAGGGACTCATCGGCTCCCCCGTCGCACAGCAACATGACGACCCGCAGTTCCCGTTCTTCAACACTGGGATGTACAGCCCCCCAAACGTGGTCTGCACTCCTTCCGGCTGCCCTTGACAGTGGTGTTCGACCCTCGTTATCAATAAAGTTCACATCAGCGTCATGATTGATTAACGCATTGGATAGTCCCGGGTCACCACTTTCCGCCGCCCATGAGAGCGGAGCTCGACCAATCTCGTCTGTGTCACCGATATTTAAGAGTTTCGCGGCAATCCCGGACCACCCAAGCAATATCTGGACTATGTCAAGGCACGCTGTTGGGTCGTCGCGACCATAACGCAAGACAAAAGTAAGTACGGTCTGACCATCTTTATCGTGGTGTCCTATTTCCACCCTATTGCTTTCCAGACACGAATCCAAAAACTCTGGCCTAAACGGGCCCGGTGGTCTCCGTCGGCTTCTCCGCAACAGTTCTTGATGCGCAGCGTAGAACAGAATCGTCCAACCTCTGTCGTCAGGCAAGTTCGGATCCACTACCTCGTTGAGTTTCGACTTGAACAAGTCTATGTTGCCAGATTTCAGGGCCTTTAATAGCGCCTCGTCCGGTCCCTTACCACCATTCATTCTTAATTATGATTTTGTATAACGCTCGTATTCACACCTGATAGGTGATATGTCAGTTGGTATTATCAAAAGCGGTTCGTCTGTGAGGAACGAAACTCGGTTGACAATCGGGCACCTTCGTGGAGCGAAATTACAACATCATCGCAAGCGAGCTCAGATGCACCGCTTCCTGCCCAACATTTGGGTGCCTAATTCATGGGTGCGGGGGAGGATGGGTACTTTACGTGCACATGCGAGATTTTTTTCTTTCTTTTTTTTAAAAAAAATTATTCTTTTATCTTTATTTTTATTTTTATTTTTATTTTTATTTTTATTTTTATACCTAAGACTGTGTCGTTACACGACATATACTTATCCGTTAGCAAAACCACTCTCCGCATGGATTAGCCTGAAACTGGTGTACAACATGGCAGGATTGAGCCGCGGGAATTTGCTGTCCCAGAGCCTCCTTCACAATTGCACAAACGAATTCTTTAACACTAATTTTAATCCGTTGTATTGAAGGAGCCACGCTCGCGTCCAGATATGGTTTAGTCTACCTTAAGTGATGCACTTTCCGCTTCCTATCGTGTTCATCCTACCAATGGTCGCCAGTCATCCGTGACAAGTCATAGCCCCTGTGGTATGCGATGATACTGTTACTTCCTCCTTTATCGATTTCGTCGCGTGGCTGGCTTGGCTTGGCACCCATTATACGAAATCGCCCAGCACAAAATGCATTTTAAATTGCGGCCCGTCCGCCGCATTTCTTTAATCTTCAGGTAATCATTAGATATCCCCATTTTTCGTTGCTGTCTTTGTAGGAGGCGGAGATTGCTGCTGCCATCATGGCGAAATACAACTTCCAGCCTGAAGAGGTCACTACGGCGATCTATAGCGTTTGCGTTTTCTTCAATGTGTGTAACACAGTTATCATCTTTGTAAGACCTCTTCCTCTTCTCGGCCATTCTCGGGCAAGCGGCTCTTGGGCAGGGGCGGCATTCGCATTGGCGACGATGTAAGTCCTCCAACCCAACCAAAAACGCGCTGGAAACAAAAACTACTCCCGGCAGTGTGTTATCCAGTTGGTTGATACTGTGTCTGAGCGAAGCCGCCATGACTATCCGTCAGGATCCAACCCCATCTCGCGCGAATGCTCGCTTTCATCTCGACTTGGTCGCCCTTTCGCTCAGCTTCATAGTTCATGCCACTATACTCATGACCCAAGTCGAGTTGTTACGCAGTCGCAAAGCGTATACAAGTAAGGTGCCGTCTCGAAAGGTCCCATCGGCAGTAGTTGGCATTATCTTCGCTTGCACGGCTGCTCGCTTCATTCTCCTTGAGGTTGGCCTTGGTACGCGGCGTGGGACTCTCTTGACGACATGCCTCCTTATCGATCTGATTATTTCCATCATTCTCTCCCTGGAAGCTATCATACTCCTGTTCGTCACCCTCTTCCTCTTCCGGCTTCTATCGCCGCTGCACTTTCCCCTCATATCCTGGGATTAATGGCGGACGGAAGATCCTAGCAAGTTAATTACGACCATAGTAGTTGGTTTCTTTATTTCAAGTACAAATATCGTTTTGCTAATACAGGTTGCTTGATTAATGCGTGTTCTTATGTGTGGATTTTCCACGAAATCGATCTGATGTGATGCGCCTGCTACTTGTTCTTGACAGCACTTGAGGCCATTGCTTCGGCACATTCTGATCCCTTTGCGATGTCTCCACGTTGATCGGTCGGGATGCTGGCCAAAAGCGCTTCAATGGACATAGTCATCTCCGGTTGCGGTCTTCTTGAAGTCAAGCCGATGCTTGTTAGGATTAGTCGGAAGCTAATCCGATGTTCAATATCCAGTCGATTGGTCACGACGCATCTAACTTCGTCGTCAGGGTCCACCTTGTGTCTCTCGGGCGGCATCTCTTGGTTTGCAATCGGACTTTGGCAGGAATTCGCTTGGAGGTTTGGGGAGCTTGGGGTGGCTTCCTTCAACTTGGTTTGACCCTGAAATGAAGGCACCTAGTGGTGTAGCTGATGTTGGGTAAAGTCGGAGGAGTTGTTTGGATACGCCTGCGCCCGGTTGGAGGGGAGATGGAACTCTGGGTATACCCAGCCAAGAACAGTGTCATTCGCCGGAATTAAAAGTTGCCGCCAACGCCTATTATCAGAAACACCGGCACCGACAGCTACACCCCCGCCCCCCCACCACCAGAGGAGCTCAGCTTTCGCCAGGCCTTGCTCAGCCTTGATGGTGCATGTCCAGTTGGCGAGTTTCCGGCCGAGGAAAACTGTCCATGGGCAATGTGCTATTCAAACGAGCTCTTGCCCATATAGTTTTCCCGCCTATAATACACTTGTATGTAGTGCAGCACGTATCGCAGATTCTCCCCTCCCTCTGCCTGAGGCTGAAGGTAGATGTAGTTGCCTCCCGGGAAATGCAGGTTCTGGCCAGTCAAAAGATTGACCAATCCCACAAAACAAAGGTCTCCGCGAAGTCGCCTGGAGTGGGCACGCCTTGGCATGCAATTTTCGTGGCATAAGAAGAAGGATAATCTGCCGGTGTTTCCATTTTCACACGAGCGTCTCTCCGGAAACCCCCAGAATCTGCGACGCGTCCCATGGATGGGCTGAGATGGTGTCCATAGTCATTCACCAAGCTAGGTACATCGTAAACCTTCGGCCTATATTGGGGGATCCACGGCTCGAAGGGTCCAGGCAAGGAACAAACAACAATAAGCATGGGAGGTGGGGATGGTGTGGTGTGGTCGTCTGGCAGTCTTGGCGCTTACCAATATTCAATTATATTCAATTATGAGGACGGACGGGATTGGTTGTCGCGCTTCATCGGCGACAGTCCAAGGGAAGTCACGATCAAGTCATGGTTATTATAGGCATCCTGGAACGCTAAGGGAGTGCGCGACTCGTTTCTGCACTACGCAACTACTACACGACTACGTCAGCAAATGAGACGGCTCTTACATACCACCCTTCCCAGTCAACCGTTTATCTACATCTTTGCTCTAATTCCCCACCTCCCTGGTTTATCACTCGGTATCAAGGCTTCCGTGGACGTACGATGCTTGGACCCGAACCACCCCTCGTATGTGGCGTTCGATATCTGGGCTGACAGATTAGACAGGGTCTATTTTTTTTTTTTTCTTTTTTTCTTTTTCTTTTTTTTTCTTTTTATCATGCCGGCTGCCCAACGACCGAGCTTGATCTTCCGCTTTAAGGCGCGCTATTCGAGCCGTAGACAAATCATATTAGGTCGTATTAAGGGGAATTCTCTTTCCTGAGGTTTTTAGGACATAATGGAAACAGGTCGCGCAGATAGCCCTAACCCCCAATTCAGTGACAACGTAGATGTAAGTGACGAATTAACGATATTCTGATCCAATTAATCTTATATTGCATCTACCCTCGTACAATGTTGCTTAAATCTAGATCTTATTACCGAGAGCCTGCACTTTTGTCGGGATGCACCTGGAGAGTTCAGTCTCAACACTACGATGAAGGGCGTCACACAGCCAGTAAAGGCAAAATACGTCCTCATGCCACCAGCAAACCGCAGCCCGCGCCTGCTGCACAACCTGTTATGGCCCATGTGGACGTCTTACTGCATTTGTTCAGTTCAGATGTGTTACTCGATTCCACCGCCCCAAATGTCTTTCTATTGCTAATATTTAGGCCAAGCCTTGAGGCTTTAGATTCCATAAAAGCAGTTGATCCTTAGACTCATCTATCCACGCTCTCCCTCTTCTCCTTCCTCCTTCCATCCTCCTTCCATCCTCCTTCCATCCTCCTTGTTTAGTCTCTCGTCCTTTCCACCGAGCAGTCGCCCACCAGTTGGGTCATTCCTTGATTGGGATATAACTCAAAAGAATCCCCTTTCCCCGGTCTCTGCTCTCATCCACACGTCACCTGCGGGTGATTGATATCCCCTTCTCCCTCTCTTTTTTTTGAAGATAATCTATTGTCTTTTGGTCCCTTTCCCACCGAAGCAGCCGCATACATGGTCGCAATCGCTAATAAGGCGCTCGGCGCCGGAGACATTAATGTCCCCCAGTTCGAGCGCGTCAACTGGCGCAAGGAGCCGCACTTGAGGAAGATGTATATCATGACGGTATTCCTCCTCGTCGCATCGGCCACCACCGGATATGACGGCATGTTATCCAACACTGCGCAGCAAATGGATCTGTTTAAGAAGTACTTCTCTGTCGAGAATGGTGAGGCCAACGAGGTCTTTATCTGGAATCCCGAGAAGGGGGAGTGGGGAGCCGATGCTAACAAGCTCGGTATCATGATCAACATGTTCAATATCGGCTCCATCACCTCCTTCTTTATAACCCCTTACCTCGCTGATTTCTTCGGTCGAAAGCCCACTATCATGCTCGGCTGTGTTATCATGGTTGTCGGTGGTATCGTCTCTGCGGTCTGCAATAGTTATGGAAGTGGGTATCCAGCTTCTATAAGGATAGCCAACGCATTTTCCTTTTTCTTGAAACGAAAAAGCTAACTGGGAATCTTGGTTAGTGTGGATGGCCGGAAGATTTATTCTCGGCTTCGGCAACTCGTTCTCTCAGATGTGCTCGCCACTCCTCCTTACCGAAATCTGCCATCCTCAGCACCGTGGCCCTCTCACTGCTGTTTATAACTGCCTCTGGAATTTAGGTGCACTTAGTAAGTTTTCTGCTACTATGATTTTCTCAGCTTGGTTATGTCGAACCCTCTTCTATCTTTCTCCTGGCTCAACAAGTGCCGCTGCCTTCTGGATTCCTTTTGTCAGCTCAGAGCTTTGCTAATGGAATGGTATTTATAGTTGTCTCTCTCGTCGGTTGGGGAACGTCGAAGATTAATAATGATTGGTGTTGGCGGTCCATCACACTCATACAGATTGTTCCCTCACTCTTCCAGCTTTGCGGTCTTTGGTGGATTCCTGAATCGCCACGTTTCCTCATTAGCAAGGATAAGGCTGACAAGGCCCTCGAGGTCCTTGTCAAGCATCACGGTGGTGGCGATGTTAATAACCCAACGGTCCAGTTTGAGTACCGCGAGATTCGGGAGACCATTACCATGGAGACCCAGGTGAACCGAACCACCAACTATGTTGACTTCCTTAAGACTAAGGGCAACCGCTGGCGATTAGCTATTATCATCTCTCTTGGTGTTATATCACAGTATTCAGGTAACGCTCTTGTCTCCAACTATATTAACTATCTCTACGAAGGCGCTGGTATCCGTGGTGAGAACAAGAAGCTGGGTGTAAGTTACTCCATTCAACCCTAACCACTAAAAGAGCATTATTAAGAATCAGACCTCATTGATAACGCTCTTTTTTTTTTTCGATAGCTCACGGCTGGCAAAACTATCCTGGATCTACTTGTTGCTGTGGCTGCTGCCCTGACTGTTAATAAGATAGGCCGCCGACCGCTCTTTCTTACTGCGATTAGTGGCATCGTTGTCTCATTTGCTTGCTGGACTCTCTCTAGTGCTATATACGAGAACTCGGATGAGTCCAACAGGCTAGCCGGAAACGCTCAGATTGTATTCATGTGGTTGTTTGGTATCTTTTATGATATTGGGTTCTCTGGTCTCCTAGTCGCCTACGCACTCGAGGTCCTTCCTTTTGCTCTCCGCGCCAAGGGTATGGTGATCGTCAACATCACCACCCAGGCCATCCTCGCACTAGGAAACCAAACTAACCTCCTCGCCTGGGACAACCTCCCCAACCACTGGAATTTCTTGCTGTTCTACACGCTCTGGGACTGCTGCGAGTTTGTCTTTGTGTGGTTCTTCTACGTTGAGACGAACGGCCCTACCCTCGAGGAGATTTCCCGCATCTTCGATGGCAATGATGCCGTTGTCCATATTGACCTCGATCAGGTTGAGAAGGAGATCCGGGCTACTCAGCATAACGAAGATATCAATTCCTCTGTTCCCAGCAACGACAAATCTGCCGTCTAATATGTGGAGTTGATAATTTTCACATTATAGCCTTCTCCTGGGGATGATCTAGGTGTCGATGCGCGCTACTTCACTTCTCGCCTCGTGTGTCTTCTTTTTTCGTTGGTTAATTATCTTTTGTGTTGTACATGGCACATAGTCTTCCACTAGCTATTACCTTACACATTATTTTCAATATCCGCCCTTATTTTTTATTGCCGATGACACTTGTCTCATTCTCAGTACTCTGTGATCGCTGGTATTGTGTGTTAAGGGGAACCCGCTAGAATGGGGCCTGATGGCGAGTGGTGGAGAGGGAGGCTTTATGTTGTGTTGCATTTCCCATTTTCTCCGCGTCCTAATTACCCCTCGTGCTCCGTCTTCCCTTGTTCCGCTGTTCGAAAACCGCATTTGCCTCTCTATCTCTTCTACCCGCTCCATCTCTTCTATATTTCACCCAAATTCTGTTTGCATCATTGAAACCCTTGACAGGCCTTAATAGTTTACTTCTTCTTGCTTCACGACCCCCAAAAAGAAGAAAAATGCCGAATAACGATATGAGTTTTGTCACCCAAGATGATCATGGATTTAATCCTCCCACGAACGACCTCAGGATCCACGGGAGACCATTTGGGCTCGAGAAAGCCTACGACTACGAGGCAGGGGGCCATCACCCTGTCCATTTGGGAGACTTGCTCCACCAACGCTACAAAGTCCTTCACAAGCTGGGCAGTGGTGGGTATGCGAATGTATGGCTCTGTCGCGATACCTCCTCGACCGACCCTCGATATGTGGCTTTAAAGATCATCATGGCTGAGGGTTCAACGCCGAATTGCCCCGAGCTGCGTATATACAAGCTCATCGAACTGGGGCTTGGCCAAGAGTCAGCGGCTGAGCACTTCTGCCTCCCTCTCGATCGCTTCGACATCGACGGGCCTAACGGCATTCATTACGTCTTCGTCTATCCCGTTCTGGGGCCCCGAGTATCTAGGGTTTTTAACGTTATAAAATTGGAAGACCCGGGTATTCCATTGAGGGAGCTTTGTTTTCAGACAACTCTTGCGATGGCTGTGCTTCATAAATATGGCATATGCCATGGTGGTACGTACCTGTCGTTAGATCCACCTCACCCCTCTGACCGACCCTGGCTTTGTCTTTCTTCCAGTATATTTCTAACCACGCACATCTTCAACAAAGATTTCCGTCCTGCCAATATCCTCCTCCGTCTCTCTGGGCTCGACGGTCTTAACGAGGAAGAGCTGTTTGCCATCTTCGGTCCCCCCCAAACTGCTCAAGTTCTCAAGCATTCTGGTGAGGCACATGATATGCCCACAGCTCCCCAGTATGTCGTCTACCCAATCGACTGGGATGACGTGGCATCAAGCGCGGCAGGATCAAACCTCATCCAGAATAAAGCCTGCATCACTGACTTCGGCGAATGTTTCGAGATTTCGACTCCGACCCTTGACCTAGGCATCCCCCAAGTCTACCTTAGTCCCGAATACTGCTTGGAAAGGAAAGTAGGCCCATCATGTGATGTGTGGGCCCTGGGCTGCACACTGTTCGAAACCCGGACCGGAAGAAAGTTGTTTGACAGCTTTGACGATGACCAAGATGAGTACCTCTTCCTGGTGGCAAGAAGCTGCCGGAGCCGTGGTGGTCCGAGACTTGGACAGCGCGAAAGCGCTATTTCCAAGATGACACGGACTCGAATGGACTCGTTGTGGCTGCCGACAACACAAAGGAGAATGGAAGGACAGGATATGGTGATGGAGATATCGCGGACATACCCAGGGTCGTTATCGATCAGTCATATCCAAGATCTCTCCAAGCTGCGATTGCTGAAGGACTCTTCTACGAGTACAAAAACAGCATCGAGGGCGTCGAAAGAAGCATACCCCAAAAGGAGATTGCCATCTTCGCGGACCTGCTTTCAAAATTGCTTCGGTATTCTCCCTCAGAGCGTATTTCACCGAGTGAGGCATTGGAACATGAGTGGTTCCAGCTGGAGAAATCCGATGGCTAACACTTTTGGGGGCGATGTGTTACCTTCCCTTTGCATGGTCAGGGCGTGTGTTTGAGATAGTTAGATTTTACCTTTTAGTAAATACCAGGTCGGAGTTTTATGTAATGCAGAATACAGTCAACGTTAGACTTCATATAAATTTGGCATTGTTTGAGATATTTTCACACGCATTGTATTTTATGTACTTCTCAGCAAACCCAGTCCCGGACGTTGGAGTATGCCAAGTAGTTTCTTTCCGTTGAACCAAGCCTTCCCAATTAGTGAACCAAGACGATGAGGAGGAGGATAGAAAGGAATATCCCATGGGGAAGTAAGAGGGGGGAAAAGAAGAGAAATAAGGAGAAAGTCGAGAGAGGGGGCATTTAACCTGTGCGTTTGCAAACTCTATGTAGGCGCATTTAGATCAGAGTGGTTCAACGCTTTGGCTAGAGTTTGGTGACTGTCATTCTCGACGCGATCGACTCTCCATTCAAAAGGTTTAACATGGTTGTCGAGGTTCATTAAAGGGACCTAATCCGCTCCGGGCAGCGGAGTATCGAGCGCCGTGATTCGAGGTGAGTTCTGGTAATAACTCGATGCGCCTCATCTAGTAGACAGTATGGCTGAGTAGCTGAGCACTCTGTTTGAAGCCAAATTTGCGTAAACACGCTCCGGTACATAGCCGCAGTTTCTCGTCGAGGGGTTCTACAAGTATCTATTCTATACCAGATAAGAATACGCCGCTGAAGGATACTATGAAACTTTGGGAGGGAAACCATGGATTCCATGCCACGTCGGTCATAACTCATAAAGCTTCACTCGAAATGATGAAACCTACACCTCTCTGCCGCTCATCACACACACACACACACACACACACACAAGGCAATTTAGGGGGTGTTGCGAAGAATTCGACCCGTAAAGAATGGGAATTTGCTGGTCTCTGAGTACAGAAGCGTAAACTTGGGGGGGGGGCAGGCACTCACCCAAGCCTAGCAAAAGGTCGGATACTCTTTCGATTTTCCCCTCTACGTTCACTCATCAAATTGCCCCATAGCAATGTTGTCTTGTTTTCCGACAAAATTTACAAAATGATCTTCCCGACTATGATCAGTATTTGGACACCATGGTCAACCTCCAATGCGGTCGATTTCCCCTGGTTTTGGTTCCGCCATATTCTAGATCAATAAGGATATTGCGGAACAAGATATTCGCGTCGAATATTTATTCAACTAGTGCATATCATTATTCTCATCCGGTTCCTCAAGGCAAGGAGACTCGTTGCTTGCCACTATGCGATAGCTGTTCGAAAAAGCCAAGCACAGACAATTGGTCACCGTGACTGATGCTACGAATGGTATCTCCAGATTCTCACCTTGCGCTACTTATCTATGTGTTGAGTCGCCTCCATTCTTCTGAAGAAGATGTGCCCCGGTTGGCTCTCGCATGATTACCGCTCACGATGCCATCGTCAAAATATCGAAAGTCAACAGAGATTAGTTTTCCTCTCTAATTCAGGAGATCAATATCGGCATTGGCACGGACACGTCACGGAGAAATCGGCGTCGAAGCAACGATTGCATCTCTGTTGCCCGGGATTATAACGACCACGTTTTCACGGAAAAACGGCTGTGTTTAGATTCGCCGCGGGATCGGGCTCCCACATAGCCTTTCGATTCTACGAGGAGAATCACTGAATTCTAGAGATAAGGACTCTCTGGGTATGTGCCGTGATGCCGAGATAACCAGAGCAAGCTCATTCCACTCTGCCACCGTCGCACGATATTTCATGCCCCCTCTTTCTTGATTCCTCTGAGCTTCAATGAAGGGCATGCAGTATTAGTGGGAGCCATAGAGAGGCATAAGAAGCCGAGTGCCGATGCTGCCGCCCCTCCCGAATCCATGAGAACTAGAACAAAGATTCGAACAACGAATTCTACATCCTTTCCTCTGATAGGGCTATTCAGACCATTTCTGCTGTTAGCTTAGATCATTTTGGAGGTAATGGTGTGTGTGCTCGGAATATATTACATATTATATTGCCTCCCACACCCTCCTTTCCGGCTGCCGCGTTTTGACAGGCGGAGGAAATGCAGGCCACTCGGTTAAAAAAAAAAAAAAAAAAAAAAAAAAAAAGAAAAGAAAAAAAAAGAAAAAAAGAAAAAAAAAGAAAAAAGAAAAAAAAAAGAAAAAAAATGACGGAAGCCATAGCTATTGTCTTCCATTCTCCTTGAGAAAGAGAAGAGAGAAAAAAATTTTCCTTTCGGAACATTGAAGAAATAAGGCAGTGGAGCAATCAAGCCCGGATAATATCAAACTTACACACGCCCACCCCGGCTCGTCTGCAATTGGGTCTCGGTAGAGGGTGCCGTGCCGGAAAAGGCATCCTCCACGAAGGATGGAAGAATATTGGAGAGATACAGTCCTAATCGGGCGTAGCATCCAGGATGAAGTGCCGGACTTCTCAGCAGTTTATATTGCGGGCCGCAGTAATGTCAATACTGCCGCGCGTCCCAATGGCCTGGGCGCTGGGGCTCGAATGCCCGTCTTATGGTCTCGAAAAAGTCTGATTCTAGTGACTGGTCCTTGTACATCTCGTCATTAATAGATGGGTCAGTGTCCCGCCCCCGTAGACGGCCCAGAGTTGGGACGTGTTCCTGGTTTTTACGTGGCTTTTCTGCCTTCCCGGTTCCTTTTCCTACGTCTGATCTGCGTCGTCTGATGTGATTACCTTTGTCGATTATTCTTCAAGGGTCTGTGGGGAAGCAACTGTAGACTTACCTCAGGTTCGGGATCGCGGCCGAAGGAGGTTGTCGGTCGTGTGCGGCAGGGCACCAGAAAACAAAACGATCATTCGCATGACTCGGAGACATCTAATATTCGGCTCAGACACGCAATTTCATCTCCCTTCTCGCGAATCATCGCAACAGGAGTGAAGGAGGGGTATCCTCGGCTCCTCCCGCGACCCATTGGCTTTCAATTCTAGTCCGTTCAGAAAACATAACAACAACCAAGTCCCTGCCCACAATGACCGCGGCGTGGTGACCACGACCATAAGACACCATAGAACTTGGAGAGCCGATATCCCTAACTCGAATAACATCACTACCGACTCCGGATAGAAAGGAAACCATAAGACATCATCACGAGGTACATCAGGTCTAATCATGAGGCTTTCGACTCTTTTCCTTTCATCATCTTTGGCAACGGCCCTGGCCTGGCCATCTGTTTGGCCGTATGAGAAACGTGCCACAGCACTACCCTCGAACTGGAAACCCGGTGTCAAGTGGCAGATCGTGATTCACGCGCCCATCGATATCAGAACGACTGTGATCCCTACTGAGGCCCAAGTCTGGGATATCGACTATTTCCATGCTTTGGATCACCCCGAAATAATCCCTGCGCTGGTATGTTTTAATCCGGGCGCATTAGGGAAAGGCGCGAGTATTATGCGTTACGCTCACCACCTACTGACTCGATCTCCAGAAATCGCCCGCACCCGATGTTGACAATGTAGTGTTGTGCTATATCAATGTCGGCGCCATTGAGCAGTACGAGAGGGATTACACCGATTTCCCCCAAGCCGCTATCGGCAAATCGTACGAAGATTATCCAGAATGGTGGATCGATGTTCGTCGTCCTGACGTTCTTGAATTTATGAAGAAGCGGTTGGTTAAGGCAGCCGAGGCTGGATGTGACGGGGTTGACGCAGACAATATCGATGGCTACGTACGTTGGTTCCTCGCTGTTCCCAACGATGCAGGACAGCGAAATGTTAAACGAAATTACTGACGTTCTATCTAGGATTGGGACGAACCAGGGGTCGACAAGACTGGATGGAATCTAACTAGACATGACCTCATCACCTACGTGACCGAACTTGCCGATTATGCGCACAGCATCGACACCCTTCGCGGCGTCCCCCTCATGTTCGGCCAGAAGAATGCCAACCACCTCGCCTCTCACCTCGTGAATATCGTCGATTTCGCTGTTTTGGAGGACTGCCAAGGGCTAAATGGGCGGCTACCCGGCGTCCACGAGGCCTACTGCCAGGACTTCCAGGCCTTCGTTACCGGCGAGAACCGCACTGATGGAAAGAAGATCCCCGTTTTTGAGATTGAGTACCCAGAGTCCACCGAGAATGGAGGCACAAACCTGACGAGACGTGATTGGGAATACTACTGCAACAGGGACAAGGTCGAGGTTGGCAACGTGGATTTCAGCCAGGTTATCAAGCACGAGTCGGATCGGATTGATGGATGGGTGCAGTATTGTCGCGAGAATGAGGAGGAGGGCAAGTTTTGGACGGCTACTTTACCGATTGGATGAATTTGCAGTGCACAAAATTGAAAGTCAGCGCAGTTTGAAATTATACTACATGCCTAGAAAAAAACGATGTCTTACCTTGGCCTGTCCGCCATGAGAGACTGAGACGCTTTCCTCAGCGCATACGCTGATGGACCGATCCAGTCTAGGGTCATCTGATGGTCCTCTCAATTCCCCGCAGCGGAACAACCTTGTCGATCCGCAGGACGACAGGTCAGAATTCATTCTTTTTCCTTCTTCCTTTCTTCTTCCATTCGTTCCATCGCCCATTCCCCAGGTTCCACGTGGGTCGGCAACCTCTTCAACTGCGAGCATTTTAGCCCCGTGGCAGATAGAGTAGCCGAGCTCGTTTAAGCACTTCTGCATCCTAGCACAGCAACTCCGGCTAAAATAGCCGGCATAGATGAAGTCTGTAAATTGACTCAAGCCTTCGAGTACTTCTGAGCCCTATTAAATCACTTCCCGGTACCTTGCAGGAATTGAGCTTACGCACTTTTGTCTCTTGGCAGGTTACGGTCCCGAGCGTCCACCGGCTGGGTCCGTCGAGGAGTCTGCGAGGCGAGGGATTTCCACAACTATTTAAATCCTTTGAAAATCATGTACGCCATACTTGGGCTATCTGTCGATATCTTCATCCCGGTTTGGCATCTTTATTATTTTTCAATAGTAAGTGAAATAATTGCCAAGACGGCGATGCACGAACTCGTGATTGCTGCTGCTGTACGCCAAGAAAGCGGAATATTTGATCAATGAAAGACAAATAAATCTAGAAAGGAATGGAAATCACAATTGCCTCACCTCCTCACCGAGAAATTGCGCTATACAGGTGAAGGTTAACTAAAAGTAAGCTTGATGATGGCTCCATTAGAAACCTTAATATCGAGGTGGATTTAGGCACGAGTTTATACCGAACTTCGAGAAGACCGGACAAAATGCGGGGAGAATAGATGCTATATTTTTTTTACCTTGCCCAAGATGAGCAACTTGTTCCGCGACCTAGGTCACAAGGATTCCGTTGCAGGTCGTCGGGCGGGCGCGGTCTAGGGAACTGAGGAATCTACGTACTTGGTATCGATCAGATTTCGGAAAACACCCAGCGAAGCACGCTCCGAAATCCAGTGTTCCAGCCACATGATCTGGCGGCACCGGCCCATCTCCTGGTCCTGGCAAGGTAACATCGGGATCAGACTCGGAAAATTGCACCAAACGGCAGATAGGGTTACATGGCACCGAAAATGTAACGGCAGTCTTGGGGGGGTGTAGGACTGGACCTGTACCTGCAGCTCCCATCACATGAGCTCGCGAAGAGAAGCGAGAAAACATGTTACTGACACGACACCGCTAATCCGAACTGCTCGTGCCAGTCATGAGTAGCTGGCAGAGTTAGAGCGCAGAGACTCGGAAGTCCACATTGTGTATACGATATCAAATTAAAAAGATTTATACCCAAATATTACCTCTAGAGAAAGACTAATATTGCCCACTTCGCTGAAATCACTTCCCATCGGAAGTACCCCATTCTGTCCCCGAGGGTTCCCAACTCGGCGCATCCTCGTATACACCATCCCCGTGTAAAATTTCTGTGATCCATCCTCGTGGACGGCAGTTTCATGACATCCACCTGATCCCCCATGCAGCCAAGCTTCTACTTTCGCAAAAGCAGGGCCAAGTAGGCCAAAAGTCTGTACCCAGCAATAATGCCAATGATGATTCCAACCCAAGTCCCCTCCTGTCCCGTCTTAATACTAAAGTTCTCCAAAACAGCCTCGCCGCGGATCTTCCCCACCGAGTTCAGGTCGCTGTAGTACATGCACTGGTATCCGTCGGGTGACTTCGTGCAAGTATATTCTCGGGATTCAAACTCGTTGACCATCATGCCCTGGAACACGTAGGCCTGATAGTCGATGTAGTGGAAGACGTACTTCCAGAACGCATTGAGAATGCTCATCGGCACGAGGAACCCGTCCACGCACATCCAAAGTCCATTCGCGAAAGCCGTGATGGCCAGTGCCACGACAAAAACTGGGAAAATGCTAGAGACGAGAACGACCAACGACTCGGCTGCAATGAGATCGAGGAATAGCCACAAAACGAACTTAAAGAAGGCACTTCCATCTGGGCGAAAGTTCGAAAGGAAATAAACCAAGAGTGAGAAGACGACGGTAATGAGGAAGAGGAATGGAAGGCCGATGATGAAATTAGATACTAAAAAGGAAAGCGGGCCGACAAGGCCATTTGCGCGTTCTTGGTAAAACGTGTGCAGGTCTTCCAGGAAGGCGGGAACGTAGGCGACTGCCATGAACGACATGAAGGCTCCGCCAAAGAAAATGGCATTAATGAAAGGCTGGATATAATTCTGATCCGTTTTGAGCCTCAGGAAGACAGTTCCCATGAGGATGGCTAGGCCGAGGTACATGGCGACGCGGATACCGTAGACGACGACGTCGCGGTACGACTTGATCCAAGAGCGGTGGAGGAGAATGAGGGGAATTTTCAATGGGCTGGGCTTTACCATCTTCTGCTGAGATAGATCAACCGAAGTAGAATTTCTCGCATCTTCAATGGCTGCATCGAGGTTGTCGCGCTCGCTTGACTCCAACCAGTGCCGGGTGATGTCTTCGGTACGGCGGACAACTTCGCCATTCTTATCCAAGTCGGTGTTGATTAGGTCTAGGTAGAACTCGGCAGCGTTGGTCTGGGATGGCATAGGGTAACCAGCTCGGGCGAAATAGCCCGGCGCTTCGCACACTGGGCCAAAGTAGCAAGTCTTCCCTCCTGATAGTAGGCAGAGCTGGTCGAATTGCTGGAATGTCGATGAAGAAGGTTGATGGATGGAAGCTACTATGACCAGCTATTATTACCATGCTTGTTAGCTTCCAGTTTGCTTCGTCTTGTGTTCCTTACTTGGCATGCAGGGTAGTACTCACATTATTTTTCTTGCCAATCTCCTTGATGTAAGTGATAACTTCGAGGCTGAGAGCCGAGTCAAGACCGCTAGTCGGCTCGTCGAGGAACAGGATTTTTGGGTTGGTGACAAGCCGGCTGGCAACACCGAGTCTCTTCTTCTGACCTCCACTCAAGCCTTTTTTGATCGGGGTGCCGACGATTGTATGAGCCTGAGACTGTAAGCCAAAGCTGGCGATGAGATCATCCACGCGGCGGAAGGTTTCTTTCTTGCTGACGTTGCTATCATCATCCACTCGTTAGTGAATCAACGCTGACCAAAGGCGTAGGACGTTGAGGGACGTACCTGGGGAGAGCCAGCCTGGCCGCGAAGATCATCGTCTCCCGTACCGTGAGACTACCAATCAATGCATCCTCCTGCTCAACGTATGTAGAGAGGTCGCGTGTCATCTGGAGCCCCATCTTCTGCCCGTTACCAAGTATGTCTCCGGTCGTGGTCGCTCCGGCAGCAGCAACGCGATGGGCGAGGGCGTTCAGCAAGGTGGTTTTACCGGATCCGCTCGGGCCCATAATCGCAAGCATGTCTCCTGCTTTGACGATGCCAGCGGCGCTCGACAGGATGGAAAGCGGCTTCTTGGTGGCTCGGTCTTTGACGACGACTTCGAGGTTGCTCCAGGCGAAGCTATCGACGATATCGTTGGCGAGGTGTCGGCTCGGGATTATATTCATCTCGAGATCATCGGAGGCATGCTCCTTTGATGCATTGTGTTCGGATTGACTGCTCATCTTTTGTCGATAAGGGTGTTCGAGGCGGTTGGCGGAGGTGTAAGTGAAGTGTGAGTACCGGATCGAGTATCGGATTCGGGAAAATTCCCATCTATGATAAGTCGATAAGATGCGTAATAGTTATCACGTCGTTTCTCTCTTTCCTTCTCTCAACTACAATCCGATCCGAGCCCATATTTATATTTTATCTCGAACAGTTAAGTTAAAGGCTTGGGAAATTCCCCGGAAGGAGATTGTGGGGTGGCGATCACCAGTCGCCGAAAAACTTCGCCGAAAGAATCGTGACGATTGCTAAGCTGGAGGATGGCTTTGTATTGACAGGGCATTGGCGACGAACGGTCGGGGTATGGATCCACAGAAGACCGCCTTAAGATTGCTATCTGATTACTGGAAGACTAGACGCCAGTCGCCGAATAGGCGCCGGGACGGCCGGGGAGTGCCGGAAAACCTCTCAGACTTGGCTCGTCACCCTGGTGGTGTTGCTTCTCAGCTGGCACCGACAGCCGTTATTCAGGTAGCCGTCCCTAGCTCTCCATTAACAATGTACACTCCGTCTACCCCCCTTTCCCTGTGAGTCCTCGCCTCCTTGGTGCCATCCCCGAGAGGATGGGAACGAATCATTGCCAAGTTCGGTGACGCTAGCTAAATCGATTAATTTGTAATCAGTCAGGCACTTGGGCTCGGTCAGGGCCTGGGCTGGAGACACAACACACAGGGAGCCCTTACACCTGGCCATTTCTAGGGATCTTCAACCGAGGAGAAATTGAGTACCTCGTTACAAGTAGTGAGGGTGTAAGATTAGGGAAAGACGGCGAGGGGATCTGAAAATATTAGAACAACCTAAGTTCCTGTGTTCCTGTAGAAGTTTAATAGTTGGAGCCATATTATTCACGAAGAGACTTTCTTGTTTTAAGGTTAATACCACCAGCGAACGAAACCAGTGGTGAAGGAGGTCGGTGGCGGAGAATGCATGCCAGAGTTCCATGGAATCCTACGTTTACATCGAGGGCCCAGGTGCCGAATAGGGCTGTTGTGCAAGGACCTGAGATGAACGGGTTCCTTTTTTCCCCGACACTAGCCCTATTCGGTAATCTCACACCAGGATCCGGGTGCGAGTTACTGAGGTACCATGACGTACATAATGATGTCAATGGCGAACGGTGGGTGGTCTAGCCTCGACCGCAGATCCCGGCGCTAAGGGGAGATTCGGGGACCGACCGTTGTAAGTTTTGGCTCCTTGGACAGTCGCCGAAGCAGAGGCTCCACATCAATGCCCTATCAAATCCATCCCAAGTTATCGAGACAGCGGGTTTTCTATTTGTATCGATTTACCGCGGGGTAGTCAGTGAGCCTAGGAAAATTCTGGGAAGCCCCGAAGGGCCATGCTGGATATATAGGCGTGCTTGCCGGGTATCTGCCACACCAACACTTCCCTCACTTTAGGCCCGGCGGGCAATCGGTACCTCTTCATAATGTACTACTCTTATTTGACGAAATACTTCAATATAGACTTATACCCCTTTCGAACAGGGCCAGGGATTACCGGCGTCGAGTGCTGCATAGGAGACGCCTCTTTACAAGAGGGTAGCCGAGTCGATCTACAGCTCGCTGGAAATATCGGATTGCCTTCATCGATGTGTAGATAACCATATACGCCAAGTAAATTGAGCATTATCATGCATAACGTCCTAAGGAAATACGAAGCGTGCCAGCAACCTGAGCGGGTGACATTTTCAGCTCTCTTCACTCAACCCGAATATGTCCACAATCTTGACTCCAATCAATCTTTAAAAAAAGCCATGGGCCTGAAACCCGCCTCAAGAGAGCCAAATACGCTCCCCGGGACTGTGCACCTCCCCGCCCAGGTCCACTGCAGCCTGTCAATGCAGCTCTTTTGCCAATTAAGAGGGTGTTTCGTGTGGCGTATTGGCTCCAGTGAAGTATGATTGTTTACCGCCGTGGCGTAACGAGCTGAAAACTCTGCCGCATTATCAAGCCCAAGGTGGTTCACTCCTGGCTTTCGTAAGAGGAGGATAATTGGAGCTGTACTTCTGTAATTCCAGCCCGCTATCCGGCTTGTGGGTTTCCTGTCTTGAGAAGTTTGTCTTGTTTTATTTAATGGTAGTCCTTCTTAGCACTCAATGGTTTCTACTCCTCTTTGCGGATTCCCTTCTCCCGATTTGAGGGAACACCAACGACCACAATTTCAATGGATGAGCGCACTAACATCCGTGAAGTACTTGGTGATGGCGGCCTCTTAGGACCGCCTCGAGACGAAGGTACATTGGCGGTGGCTACAGGCCCTGAATCTGGAACGCGACTTGAGCCTGAGGAGCAAGATAGGGCAGGGCAGGAGCAGCTCGTCCAAGAGGTAGCCCCATCCGCCGCGGAAACTGCCACCACGTCGAAAGAACCATCCCGGAATTCAGATGTTGGATCAACCGGTTGTGGTAGTCTGAGGACCGGAAACGTCAGTGATCCAGTCGATCTTCACCGACATTGGAATGACCAGCCTCACGCCAGGGCGAAATGGCGCGACATCTGGGAAAACACCATTAAACAGCTAAGCTTCAGAAGCCTTCTTGACATCGCAAGAGGCCAGAGCCGCGTCGCCATCTTCAAAAGCCGCCGGGCCGCGTTCTTAGCCATCGGTTTCCACTTCATCCCGATCGCCACGAGTATCGGCATAACCTTCCTAACCATCCGAGGAACTTCCGCTGGATTCACTTTCCCCGTCGACAGTGACCGAAATTTTTCCAAAATAATCGGGCTTCAGATCGTCGCAAAAGTATACGAGCTCTTCGTTGTGGCTTCGCTCACGTCCATGATTTTCACCCTGATCCGCCGAGAGCTAGCCTTGAAAGACGGTGTGCCATTTGCGGCTGTTTCTGCGGCGTCAAACATTGGGAATGCCGCTTTCCTTTGGTCCAAAGAGTTCATGGCGCTCTTCAGAGGTGATTTTGCTTCCAAGAAGGCTCGTTGTCTTCTCATCGGTTCCATTGTGGTTGGCGTCGGTATGGCCCTCGCAGTTGCTCCGGCCGTTGCGACCTTGATTGCCCCTACGATGGCATCCTGGCCAGTTGGCGGGACGTCTCTTTGGATCAATGCATCCAGAGCCGAGCTTTTCCCTCGCGTTGTGAACAGCTCGAATACACTGGGAGAGGCTTGCAAGGTCGCAGGTCATGACCAATGTCCCTCGGCGTTTTGGACAGGACTCCGAGACATATTTGCAGTGCCTCTGTCCCACAGAGATACCCCACGAGAGGGGCTTCCGGATGTGGGCAACTTCTTCTGGTTTAGGGTAGGCGGAGGAGAGGCGGGGATAACAATCACCAACAGGGTTCGCAACAAGTTCGGGGTATCCTGGGAAATCCGTGGCTGCCGCTCCCCACGTCGCTATTAGCCGGGCGATGAGCGTGAATGGGATGTGGTGGAATGATGCTGCCCTGCGTGCGTGAGATGTCAAGAAGAATATCGAGAGGAAACAGTATCGATTTCGATCTACCGATCGCCTTGAATTGGTTGCCCCTGCTCCGGTCACGCACACCAAATGCTGGCTCGATCGGGTAGACATGGAAGCCCTGCCGGACCCAGCAACCGTCAACATGTTCCCGGAGATGAGGGAGTCGGCGAGATCAAGATTTGCGGTCAACTCTAGTGAGCTTGCCTCCTGGTTCGACAAACTGTCAGGTATTGCTCGACCCCAGCTTTTATGGCTGGAAGCCACTCCTAAGCGTAAGCGCATTTCTGTGCTTGCTGCCATCGCCATCCCCAGGCCATCTGATAAAACCACTGTAGCCCTGTATGGGTGTTCTGTTGCAGCAACATATCTACCAATCACTTATTTCGATACTATTGGGGGCTATGCAGTCAAGCTCGATGACAAGGAGGTTCAGGATGTCATTGACGGTGTTTGGGTTGACGAGCCTAGTCCTCGATGGAATGTAACGTCTATTCGCCCGGAATTTGCCGCCTACGTTAGCCCTCGAGTCAGCCAGTTCGAAGACCGTACAGTCTTTGAGGAAATGGCTTTAGCGAGTTCGCTATGGAGGCCAGAGGATCCATATGGCGGAAGCAATCAAACCCACCACATGGAGTCGGTGATTTCGGTTATGCTTCTTAACGGCCTTATCCGAGTCGCTCCTCACGCCGCGCAAGTGGGTCGAATGAAAGGGGTGGGAGAAAGGAATTGGTGGAGAGGCTTCATACCGGGTCCGAAGCAAGGATATGGAGACAAAGGAGAGGTCACGCCTGCGTATACTACGACCGAGGATGAGAGACGGGGAGCGAGCGAATACCATCTCACGGTAAAAGTTACCGGGTATGGATACGGCAGGCCCCCAGATGACGGCACATCGATTTTCGGGTCTCTAGTAGTTATGTGGATCTACCTTGCCATCGCGTTTCTGTATATCGTGTGGTCAATGTGGACGGGCATTACAACATCCTCGTGGTCATCAAGTTCGGAACTGCTGGCCTTGGCATTGAAGAGTCCTGTCCCTCCCGACCGTGTACCGGAGAGCTCTCGGGACGGGGTGGGCGGTGTAGTATCTTTGAAAGACAGGTATCTTCTTGAAGTCCAAGGTGGCAAAGTCGTGCTTCGGCCTGCCTACGGTCAGTCAGAGAAGAGGGAGAAAGTGCTGCCGAATAGCCGGTATAGTTAGGGATAGGAGATTACATCCAGGGTTTAATACCTACTCATATATCTCGACATACTGAGTATGACCTATTCCGAACAGGAGGATTCACCGTCTCAGTTGCGAATGAACGTTCATTTTAGTATCTCTTGAATGTGATCTCTCTAATTACATGTACTATTTTCGATGTAGACACTCTCCCGATCTTAAGATATCATCAGATTGCCTGAAGCCTCTCAGTATTGACCAATTGATCACCCTAAGCCCGATGTCGACATCCTATTAATTCCATCTCGAAGCTCAACAAGGCCGACCGCAACATCCGCATGTGTGTCCATGTCCGTGTCCATGGTAGCTCGGTCCGCATCCGCAGTTAGGTGCCGGCGCTGTCCACATCCCATGTGCATTTCCCTGAGGGCAAGGGCACTGTGCAGCTCCACAGGCCGGCCCAGTCATGTGGGAATAGTGGCATGGCGAACAAGCTTGGGGACGGGGATGATGGCAATGGGCGGAACAGGGAGAGACCGCCGGTTGCTGGTGACAATGGGAGCAGGGAGGAGAGTGAGCTTGGTGGTGAGGGGTGCCCTCCGAGGACGATTTTTCGACGGGAGCCTGCTTCTCGCCGGTGGGGGGATTCTGTTCGCGGCTGGCCATTTTATCCAGGAGTCCGATAGCGCGTGGAGTCGTGGGCCTTGGAAATGAGATGGAGATTCGTTCGTAGGGTTAAGGTGGACTGAGTATGTTGATCAGAAATCAAAAAAATCAGAACGTGGACTGAAGAGCGGAACGCGAAGGCTTTTATACCTTGGCTTCCTTGATAGTTACATCACCTTTCATGCGAACGTAAAGGTTAATTCCACTCGCCGAGTTCAACGGACATCCGCTCAGTTCGACCCATTGTCAGATGTCGGCCGGGGTATTTGCTTTTGCGGAATCGCAGTGCCGCCCATGCTCCCCAGTGAAACTGTTCGGGACTCCGGATCTCCAACTGCATGATCTTATTCTCCGCGATCGAAGACAGTGCGATATTGATTTTAACTCCTGATGTGATGTGATATCATCAGTGACTGCTGCTGGAAAGTTAAACGCCTATTTCCCAAATACAACATCGAATTGTATGTATATACCTGTCGGATTTAGTGGTTTCCAGAGATCCAAGGGACATCTTGCATCGGAGGTCACCCAATCTCGTTAGACACGTAGCTGCCGTTCAGGAGCACTCGAGCGTAAAAACGTCCGCGTTGTAGCATAGTTACGACGAAATACATCAGGTACTCGGGGCTTAGGAAACCTCACATATAGCAGAACATAACTTTCATCTCCGCCAGCAGACCGGTTTGTTTAGTCCGTTCCGTTCTCTCTATCAAGCCTCATCCGGCACCCATTCCCCGTCCACCTTCTTCCACTTAGGCAACTTGTCATCCTGGCGCAACTTGACTAACGAAGTGGGAACCCTGACCTTCCAAGGATCTCCCTGTGGAATCTCATCGCCCGGCTTCTGGGCACGTTCGGCGATTTCATCCGCAATCGGGAGGAAGAGCGGGCTTGAGATTGCAGGTAACGGGCCGCCGTTCCACAATTCACCGAATTGCATGAAGCTGAAGGGAGTGGTTAGTATGTTACAGGTAGGAGTAAAATTGGGCAGGACATACTGATCGATAGCGGCCTCAAAGCCCGGTCGAGCAGGAACTTGAACCCTGCAGAATCCAGCTTTGAGGAATTCTTCAAACTCGGGATCGCTGTCCTCGATCGCCAGCTTCTCCGCCCACTTTCCCTTTCGGCCCCAGAAATAGGGATACAACACGTACACTGAAGCATAGCTTGTTCAGTTTCTTGAAAGGCAGGACGAATGGGATGGGAAAACGGCTTACTCAAATTCTCCCACTCAAAGGCCTGCTCGAAGAATCTCACGTATTCTCCTTCAGCTTCGGCCTCATCAAGATTGATGAACGGTCCGTACTGCGAAGTAGAAATAGAATCGAAGGCATCGTAGTGCTGCCCGGTGATTATGGAGATGCAATTCTTCTTCAACTCCTGCTTCACTGTGATTGCGTTGCTGGCGGGATTCCTGGACGAATTCGACAAGTGTTAGTATTGAACGGAATCGCGAATGAAAACTAGTCTGAGGTTCAAGTTGTTTCGGTAGTCCTAGAGGTCGCATTTTAACTTACCTTCCCTGAATCGTAATGCCTGCTTGAAGTTCAAGGGTAGCAAGCTTCTCTTCATACTCTTGAAGTCGGGCCCGATAAGCCTGCGTAAGCTTCGCGTGCGTATCCGCCTGCCATTCCTTGAAAGCGTCCTCTGTGATAGAAGCAGTAATCTCGACTGTAACCGTCGTGGAAGACATCCGGAAAGTGTGGACAGCCCACGGAATGGAACCTCTCTGGCGTGCTAGCGTAACCGTCCTCACACCAGCGGTGTCAGTTCTCGACGTTGCGTTGCCGACAATGACGGTGACAGAATGGCCGTCGGTCCAGAAGCTTCCCGATTCGCCAATCCTAGCGTGGACAGCTTCGTAGCCCTTATCCAGGGCGATAGTTCCGGTGTGGTTGGCGCTGTTTTTCTCCCCCAAGTCGCTCGCGCTAAACGTGTCCGACACTGTTACGTAGTCCGGCGGTGGGGGTTTGACGTCCGTTGCCTGGTAGCTCTTCACCCAGTATTCGTAGGTCGATTCAAGGATTTGGCTCGGGCCGAGCGGAAACGGGGTGGGCTTCGTTAAGGCGGCGGCTGAATCTGCGGCCTTGACCATGGTATCGATAGTAAAGGCTCCTGGTTCCGGAATCATGAAATCGCTGGAAATGGCGTTAGACGGGCGGTACAAAAGAAGGAAGGAGTATCAGGTAAAGTCCTGGGAACTTACAAGAGGGCACGGAGACCATAGTTGAACATTTGAGCCTCGTAGCTGGTCAGCCACTCCTGTCAGCAGGCAACGCAACTTGGCCAACTTGAGGCACGTCTCGTCTTCCAAGGCTTGCGTCGACTCACATTTTATTGACCCACTGATACACGCCACTGACATTGACCGACCCGGTGCTGTTTTCAATTCCATGGCTGTTGATCTCAACCACCTCGGACTATAGCGGGTGTTAGCATCACATTTGCCATAAGCCTCAAAGACATGATAAAAAAAATTACAAAAAAAAGGAAAGCTAAATATGAAATTTGCGGATTTATTATTCTTACCGAGTTGGTGACAGTCTGCTTCTTCAGAACTCGCTCGGTAACTTTCTTCGATGCCTTCTCGGTCACGTCTTGGGAGAACTAGGCGGAGTTAGCCAACAGATAATACGCCAAGTTTGGAACTCTGGAACTTTCGGACTTCTGACCTTGGACGCCGACTTCGTAGCAGACTCCTTGGACCTTGAATATCCACCCTCTGCCTTGGCCGTGAATTCGACAGCGGGTCCGTATTTGGCAGTGACTTGAACACTGCCCTTAACGTCGAATTGCTCTTTGATGGTAGATGAGGTCTCTTGCGACATTTCAAAGCGCGAAGTAGACGACAAATCCCGCGAGTCTTCGGTAGTCGTTTCTTCTTCCGTAGTCACGACAGTCTCACTCCGCGTGGTGGATGTGTGCTCTCGCTTCTTGGACTCCCCCTTGAGTACATTCTCAATGTGGGCGATATCAGCACCCTCGTAGCCGATGAGCTGCTGCTTAACGATTATGAGGTCTCCCACACCAACGCTGCTAATCTTGCCTCTGGTCTTGGGAATGCGGGTGTCGCTTGTGTCGAGTCCACGGATTGGTACTTGAGGGGCCCTGGGGGCTATATTTCTGAAATCTATGCCAGTAGCAAATTTGCTGTAGCTGCTTGGCACCGGCTCCTTGGAAACGACTGCCTTTCCAGCAATGAAGGTGACCTTTGTGGTCTCAAACGAGGGCACAAGTGCTGCCAGGTCGCCTTCCACTTTAGAAAGGCCAGAGCGTAGCGTTTTAACCACGTCTAAAGGATAAATAAGAAGCGGGGGTTAGCGAACGTTATATCCGTTGAAGGGAACAAGGATCGTGTGCAGGGCTGGCTTACCGGGCAACCCTACTGTGGACGGTTTAATGTCGAATGATGTCAGGACACCCTGGGTAACAGTGGAAAGAGGTGCTGAGTCCGTCAGAGTTGGAGCCGAATCAATCGTGTTGCTTGGCTCAAAAGAAGTGACTCCTGTGAGCGCAGGAGCGATACTGGCGATCTGTTGCACCAACCCCACGGCAGAAGCCGTACCGGCAGTGTCCAACAGTGCTAGCGGATCCCTGCCGGGTTCTGCACCATCCGTAGCCGTGGCCGACGCGAGTATGGACGGGTTCGTGGGGTTGGTACCAGACCTCGCCGCTGCTGCACGGAACTGATCAATATTGACGGCCCGCAAGTCGGTAGCGTACTGGACTTGCGCTGACAATGATTTCAAGATGGACAGATTGCTGGGAACATCCACTGCGTCTCCCTTCTCTTGCACGCTCGTTTTGATATGGGCCGTGTCAATGCTGGTGAGCTCAGTGATTGCGGATTTGATTTGGCCGTGACGCTTGATGAGGCTTTCCACCTCCTTTTCATTATCACCATCGGGCGTGCCCTCATCCGGTGGAGCCGCAATGATTGAGGTGAGTGACTTTTCGTTTGGCAGCAGGAGCGAGCGCTTCCTCAGATTGAAGACATTGGTGGGTCCGGATGGGGTCGGATCAGGAGGATCCTCGATTGTCGCCCGGACCCAGAGAGCTGGAGTCCGCGGAGGCTCCCAGCCTACAACCGAAGTGTGGGCCTGGATACAGACATAGGTGATACCGTTCCATGTTGTTTGATCTCCCACCTTGTACACGGTCTGCGTTTGCCATTCGGGAACAGCCAGGACCACTGCTAGAGCAGACACTTCAGTATCGGGCGTAATCACTTTCTTTTCAAGGGCACTGCTCTGCTCCGATTTGGCAACCGCGTCTTGGATTAGGATCGCGTCACGGAGAAGATTGACGTATTCTTCCAACGGAAGGGAGTGAGAACCCTAGAAGAAAGTCAGTCTCTATATCTTAGGGCACGGAGAAAACCGGCAAAAAACGTGCCTGGTCAAATTTGACAGCGACAATGACATCTCTCAGGTCTGTCAAGAGGGTCACGAACTCGGGCTTCTCGATGACCTCCGCCGCAGGAACCCCAAAGACCTGCTCGGTAAACTGAAGAACTGATGCAGCAGGCAAATCATTTCCAAAGCTTGCCTCGTCCAACAGGACGCCGAGCCTCTTGAGAGACTTTACAAGCTCATTTGCACCGAAATTCTTGATGAAAGTGCTCCCTTCAATGAATGCTTGGGCAACTTTGAGGGTTTCGGCGCGAGCATCGGTTGCACTAAGAGCTATGGCAAGCTCGGTCTGGAATGTCGACTTTTGTGCAAGCTCAATGCTCGGGGCCTCGGGATCCTGTTCAACAGGAGCTATGTGCAAGAAGAAAAATGGATCAGTGACGGGTATTCTTCATAGGCTGCGAACAGAATTAACATACGCCGAATCAAGAGGAGTCGGAACAACGACTCTGTCATATTCGCTGTGGATATGGCAGTACCGATCAGGGTAGAGATAATAGTTTAGACTTGGCGAGGGAGTTATTTTCTGGGTGAACTAGCGTGAGAAACTAGGAGAATTTATGCTAAGAGGAGGCTGGTGAGATATACGGAGTACAATCATCATCAGGTCCTGTCTCATTCCCTCTGCTTCCTGGCTTACAGGGTGTAGGATCATGAGTTTCCCCAGGCCGAGACCGTCCCCACTCCCCAGACAGCAGAATGCGGGACGGTCCTTGGTGGCGACTAGTGACACCTCTAGTGACATCCTCCATGCCCCTGGCTCGAACGGTCTGCCTCGAACTTCATGATGCAATCGAGTCAGCATGGCCAGATGAAGACCTTCCCAACTCTCGTGGTTGGCGGAGCTCTTGTGTTGCGTTTCCAAATCGAAACTCCGAGGAGCTCATTTGCTGTGAGAGCTTTTCACCTGACTGATCAGCCGCAGCACGCGGGGAATGTGCTTATGGATGGAGTCTTAAGCTGGGTTTCGAGGATGGTTTAATTGGCCAATGGTGACAGGGTTGCGACATTCGCCTCAAGCAGGCATCTCCTGATACGCCTGATGCAGGTAATATTGACCGTTTGCATTCCGAAAGCGAAACATGGTGACATTCTTTGCATAAGACCAGCCGAGCCTCGGCAGTGACGCATAACACGACGGGTTGCTGCCAGTTATCCAACTTCTTGCTTCATAGGGATCTCTTGCGAGGGGAAGAGTCCCCGAAGGTCTCCAGCGAGCAACTGTCATATCCAAATCTCTATCGTTGTCCATTACCCACTATCGTGTCTCAGAGAAATCCAAAATGGCTTTCGAAGAAGAAGTGAAAAAAGAAGATCTCGCTCGTTTCGTGAGGTGGAATAAGAATCGACTCATCGAGATGTTGACGGATGCGTCGGTTGACACAAAGGGTATTGCCATCCAGAGAGAGGTCGCATCAATCCTCGAAGCCGATTTCAACACAAGTCTTAAACTTCTCCTTCTTGGGGGCAAAGGACCAATCGGCCACGTCAACAAGCAACTGGTAAACTGGTATAACCGAGCCTACGACAGGGCGCTAGTGAAGGTATCATACGAGACCTCCAGTTCCGCAGTTACCAGCATTTACTTCGACAAACTCCAAGCTTTCGAAGCTTTCCTGAACCGCTGGGCTCAACGAGAGATAAACTTCATTCAATGGGTGGACGATAGGAAGACCGGCGTGAGAACCGTTTGGGAGGCGAATCCAAAGATCCGCGTTCTCATCCAGGTCATCAAGGACCAGGCGCTCGACTGGTGGAACCGGCGAACGATGACGCCGGCTTTTTTGCGACAGTCGGCGGGCGGCATCGTGGAAACGTTTTTCTCCGAACGACCTGATGTGATGATCTTGGTCGAGGCTGTGATCGCATTCCCCAAGCTCAAGTACACGCAGGAGATTGAAATCGAGCGCGACGAAGTCGGCGAACTACTCGAGTTAGCACTTAGCTTCGTACCCGTATTGGGGAGTGCGATTTCTCTTTATGAGGCGTGGGAAGGGAGAGATCTCTCTGGAGTCATGCTAAGCAACCTCGAGCGCGGAGTCCTAGTCGCTACGGTGTTGCTCCCTGCTGCCGGGCGTCTTTTCAAGGGGGGTAAGGCAGTTTACACCGAGGCCAGGCTGGCCAGGATGTACGGGCGATCCGAGGCAGAATGGGGCAGGGCAATCAGGCTCTCCGGCCAGGCGACCGAGCGACAAGGCGCTCTCAAAGTCCTTCAAGAAAGCGAGGAGGCCCTGCTCAAAAGTGGGAGGCTCGAGGCGACACTGGCCAAGGAGGTCAAGGGCGTTCTTCCTCAACTCACCAAGGCGGCCACGACTGCTTCCTCGCGCGTCTCCGTCGAGGTTAAGGCTGCTTGGGCGGTTTTGTCCCAGAAACATCCGTCGCTTGCCGTTCTCGATGAAATTGCATTGGAGCGTATCATCCAAAAAGGGGCGAACGAATCCCACGTCAAAGGTCAACTTCTTGAGGAACTAATGGAGGCACACATCGTCCCACAACTACGGCAGAGAGAGGTCGGGTTTGCTCTAGGTGTCGCTGTGCCTGAGGGCAAGGTTCTGGAGTATGTCCCCGGCCATGCCATCCGCAGCGCCTCGGAAAAAGTGCCGCTTCAATTGACGGACGGCATGGTCGGTTACCGCGACGGGAATGTTTTCCATATTCTTGGCATCTTCGAGGCCAAGGCCGGGAAGAAGGGGACAAGGGAGTTGCTCATCGGCTCGAAGGAATTGAGCCAAGGTGAAAGGCTCGAACTTAGGGCTTTTGCGAATGATACTTGGCGAGACGAGCGGAATATTGCAAAGAGGTTGGGAAAACCATACACGAGAACGGTTCAGGAAGTGGAGGCAGATGTGAGTGTGGAAGAATCCACCTACCCAGGGAAACTAGAAGACGTATTGCTGACAGGATGTAGCTCGCGAAACTCAAAGATGGCGGGCAGCTCCAGCGTGACATCGAAAGACTGTCGGCTAACGCGGACGGGTCCTTGGCATCAATCTTGATCGACGGCAATATAGTTGACGTTAGCATTTCACCAACCTCGACCAAGTTCTTCGGCATCGTGCCAAAAGGAAAACGTATCGACCTTCTTCAATCTGCCGTCACGGCTGCCGGGTACAAATTCGAGGCGATTGCGGCGCCGATCAATAGTAAGGACTTGACAGCGTTGGCGAAGGAGCTCGCAGGAATAGGTGCTGCAACCGCTGTAAAGCCACCTTAAACTGAGCGAGTGTAGGGCAGGCACAGCCGTATGAGTCGGGCCTGCCTGGATAAGAGACGGGATAACGTCAATTCGGTTTAGAGTACACATCAATTGATAACTGCTAAGGATTGCTACGTCCCCATATCTGACAGGGCCTATTGTTTACCATAGCTCACAAGTTGGCTTTCTATCCTTGCACTGGAAGCTCTCCTTGAATTCCTGGCTGTTGGCCATCGTTCCCAAAACCCTCGCCCACTTCGGAGAGTGAGGGTCAGTGTAGATGCGATCGACGGCCTCATCGGTCCTAATCTTCCCACACCACCAGTTGGCGTAGTTTACAAAGAAAAGCTGCTCATGCGAAAAGAAGGATAGGCCCGGGAGATCCTGATCCCCTTCATCCTTGGTACGGTGCTTCCAGGCCTGGAAGGCGGCGGAAAGTCCGCCCGCATCGGCAATGTTCTCGCCGAGAGTAAGGCGCCCATTGACGTGGAGAGGCTTGCCGTCAAGACCGGGAACGGTATACTTGGCGTACTGGTCGACGAAACATTGGGCCCTCTCCTCGAATGCCTCGACAGTGCTTTCCGACCACCAGTCGCTGTAGTTGCCGTTCTGATCGTAATGCCTGCCCGTCGAGTCAAAGGCGTGGCTCAGTTCATGGCCGGCGACGGCACCAAAGGCCCCGTAAGATAGGTAAGCTGGGACTCTGACGTCGAACACGGGGAACTGCATGATGCCTGCAGGGAACACGATTTCGTTCCCGGGAGGATTGTAGTAGGCATTCACCGTGGAACTAGTCATGCCCCACTCATCCCTGTCCACGGGCTTGCCCAGAGCAGACCAAGCGTGTTCGACCTCGAATTTGCTCATGGAAATGGCATTATCGAAGTAAGCCGAGGACGACACATCCACGGACTTGTAGTAGTCCTGGAGCTTTCCAGGGTCGAGGATGTCCGGACTCTTCGTAGGATAACCAATCTTCTGAATGATGTTGTTGACCTTGTTGATGGCCTTTTTCGTGGTCTCGTCATCCATCCAGTCGATGGCGTTCAACTTGTTAATGAACTCGGATTTGATATCCTTGATAATGGTGTCGCCGAACTCCTTAGCTTTGGCCGAGAAAGCCTTTTCGATGAAGAAACGGCTGAGGATCCAGCCAAGACCACCATCAATGTGTCGGACACAAGTTCGCCACCTATCCGGGGCGGAATCGGGATCCTAGAGAATCATATGTGAGAAGAGGGACAAGAATACGTGATCATTAGAAGTGAATAGATACCTTTCCCGAAAGCTCGTTGCGGAACCGTTTGTAGGGCTTCACAGAGTCGGACTCGATAAAGGAGGTCAACGACTGAACGGTCTTCCACTTGAAATAGGCCTCGACGACATCCTTGTTCGTCTCTTTAAGAATACCCGAGAGGGCCTCGAGGTATTTTGGTGACGCGACAATGATTCTGTCGATGGTAAAGTCCTTGGGGGAGAGCTCTGAAAGGAGCGCCTGAAGCTCGATCTCCGGGGTGAGAGCTGCAGCATCGGCGATATCCATCGGGTTATAATACTTCTGTTTGCTTATTAGTTTGCTTGGAATTCGTGGAACTAGTAAAGGGTCATCGTACTGTAACATTCAAACGATCTTCAGTTGGCGGAGACGCGGCAGCGAGCTTCTTTTCGAAGTCGACGACTTGCGAAAGGACGTCCTTATTGGTATCCGGGGACAAGGCACTCAGGACAGAGACTGTGACATTTCGGTATTTCTCAACCAGGTTGTCATCTTCATACCTCTCCTTGGAAGGTAAGCCGATTCTCCAAGGCGCCGAGACCGTGATGACGACGCTGTCTGGGTCCCTGTCGTCGGCACCAGTACCCGAGTCAACGAGGGCAGCAATTCCCTGCTTCGCCAGGAATAGGACGGCATCTTTAATATAATCGGACTTGTCAGAGGAAAAGATCCCCTTAATCTCGTCTAGGACGTGATTCAAGGGACCATCTCCGAGCTTCTTGATGCCGTCCTCGTCAAGACAAGCATCATACGCAGCCTTTATCTTCTTGAAATTTTCCTTGTCCTCCTCTTGGTCGGCCGAGGCCAGTCGGGCCGGAGAAAAGAACGAATGGATGGATTCTTCGGGGTAATCAGCCTCCAGGATATTCCGAAGCAGCAGCTCGGAGTTTTCGGCCATGATGGTGCCGGTGAAAGCGCTTCCTTGATCGGGTCGAAGATCATGACGGTCACGCCATCCACCACAAACAATCTGCTCGAAGTCGGTGCAGGGGTCGAGGTCCTCGTGATTGGGGGCAAGGTTGTACAGGATTTCGGACGCGGCATGGACGCATGCTGGGGAGAGACAGAGGTTCGAGGAGTCGCTGTTCAATGAGGGAACTGTTTGCGAGGTGTCTGGTCAGCTCTGGTCCTGATATGAAACGAACAGGGGAATCACACATTTGGGGAGTCCATTCGTCAAGAGGGTAAAGGCCGTTGCCGCGCTTGCAACCACGGCGATGCCTGTCCACCGACGGCAGCGTCGCCGTACAGGTAACGGCCGAGGCTCTTCCTGCAGCAGAGGAAGCTTCTCGGACATGACGATAGGCGCAGCTCCTCGATTGAGGGTGTCGGGCAAGGAGTGAGTGTAGCTAGGACTGAGGCCGTTAAGCGGAGCTCCTGACTTCGTGTACTCGTGCGAAACAGATCCGCAGCTCAGAGCTCTGTGTAGGTTCCCTCCACTTCGATGCACAAGATTCTGGACGAGCTCTGTCGACCAGCGTGTGAATGGTGACAAATCTTAATTTTGGAGGACCAATTGATTCTGATGGGAGGCTCATAGAGATCCCAAGAGGAGGAGTCAAGAGAGCTCGGATGGAGACCGGAGAGCATCAGACAACCATGGCGTCATAATTCGTTGCACATGTTGTTTGTTTTGGAAAGAGCTCCTGTGACTAATCAGACATGTTATGGTCATGTGACTAGAACATTGGACATTGAATACGTCACGTGTGCATACGGCTTTGCATCGAGACTGCTCAACACTACACGAGCGAAACAATAAAAGAAAACTCGATAGATTCCTCCCTGGCAAAATGCTTGCGGTTACTCACTCCATGGAGAAGCTCGAAGGGACTTGACTGAGTCTTGGTAGTGCGCAATCAGTTCTGCGTAGTATACAACGAGGGCGTCCCAGTAATGTTTCGAAGCCCGAATTCTTTCAAGTACTCTTGAAAACGAGGCAAGGCGCGCTCTATCCACTCAAGGACTTCAGTGATCACCTCGAGTGTTTCCTGGTGACTCGCGGCGAGCTTTTGCCGGCAATTACCCGTTGGATTAGCGGGGGACCTGAATGTTTGTTAATACCTAGCTAGGATACGAAGTAGACCACACAGATTGCCTACCCGTGATTTGTGTTCTCAAGTGCTGGAAAGAGGCTATGGCGACAGGAAAGCAGGTAGAGAAAGAAGTGATGGCGTTTCGGATTCCTTATATGCTAGAGACTTTTGGTGGATAGATCACGCACTCGGCAACTGGTCATTGAAAACAGACCTTCGCTGCTACCGAGTTTAAGCGTATCTAGCGGAGAGATCATCAACCGACTCTGGAGTATCAGAGAATGGAAGCCAGGCTACGCTTATTGACATTTCATCTACGCATGACACCCAGACTTAGCTACGTAGAGCCAGTTGTTTGGCTAAATACGAGCCGACTGAAGCTGTGAAACCCCAAAGTCAAGAAACAACGCCCAACCGCATTCCTCTTGCGTAATTCTGAAGTGCGGGTTTTTCAAGCATCCTTTTCTCTATTCGTCTTCTGTCGTCTTCTCCCCTTCGTCTCCTCGCACAATTGTGCGAAGAGGGAATGGAACAGTCAATACATCCCGGATAATAGAAACTACTAAGTAGTCGAACCGTGTCGAAGTCAGACATCGTATCTTACTCAGCACCCCCATCCAAATCATGGTTCGATTTGTTCATCCGCACGAGGAGGAGCTCATTGTCAGAGTTACGATATAGGGCATGCCACGGTTGAGCTGTTCTTCGGGAACACTCACTGCTTGACAGAATTTATTTCGGATCTGCTGATTAGCTACTTTTACTTTCTCCTTTCTGAGAAAGGATGGCTGCCCAACTGAAGCCGCCGGGAAATGGAGGGTAAGTCGACACTGTCCAGTGCCGCGGCGTTGACTAAATGTCCCCTTTTTTAGAGATGCAATCAGCCGGTTGGAGGCTGCAATGAGGGAGATATCTGAAGTTCAGCAAATTTGCAGAGCACCATCCATCTCTCTGGGTGTCATTCATGAGGGACAGATCATATTTCGCCGGAGCATCGGCCTCAGAGATATCGAGGAGAACCTTGAGGCGAACAGCGATACTTCATATCTCATCGCATCTTGTTCCAAATTGTTCACGTCCGCGGCCGTCGGCATACTGGTCGGTAACAAACTCTCCTTAGCTGATACTATCCACCAGCATCTTCCGGACTTCGATCCGGTTGAGGATCCTCAAATTGGAAAGAAGGCTACCATACTCGATCTCTGTAGGTACTCCACTGGCCTAGGAAACCCTAACATGGCCTTTAACGGGCCCGGAGGCACCATAACTGCCAAAGACGAGGACCACATTTCCATCATCAACTCCCTCCCAACATCGAACAAATCAGGTCAAAGATTCAACAATTGGTGGTTCTACAGCAATATCGCGTTCGGATCGCTGGCGAAGATTGTAGAAGCCGCCTCCGGTTTAAAGTTCTCCGCCTTCATGAGAGAACAAATTTGCAAACCGCTCGGGCTAAAACAGACACTCCTTACGGAGTCGGAAGTGGATAGCAACGACAACCTCGCGTATCCCTATGTCCAAAGAGTGGATGGGAGTTGGGCGAAGATAAACAACGGAATTACAACCGAGAAATATAGTCCCTCCCTCGCCTCTATGGGGATTCGCAGTTCCGTTAACGATATGCTCACATTCTGTGCCGCCGTCATGAATTGTTATGACCGAGAGCGAGAGGTTGAGCCGCCCCATCCTCTTCCAAATGGAGTTGTGAAAAACCCGCTCTCAAACATCTTCAGCCTGTGGGATTCGTGGTGGAGCCGTCCATGCGACGACGGTTTTGCAAACAATACGGCTTACACCCTAGGGTGGTTTCGGACAACAATCCCAACTTGTGCCCTCGGCATGCTGTCATACAATTCCGTGCGTAGGAAGGAAGACATCATCGGAAAGAAGTCCCAACCTCGTATACTCTACGGGCACAACGGCGTCACCAACGGTTCTGTTGCGACAGCATACGTCATTCCGGAATCCCATTCCGCAGTAGTGGCCCTGAGCAATGCGGCCGATGCTGGGGATGCTGCCGGGACAACGGCTGAGATTTTGATCCAGGCTCTATTTGACCTCAAACCACACGTCGACCTCGTGTAGTCGGTTAGGATGTCAAGAGACGAACGCATGCGGATGCATGAAGCCATGATTTCAGACTGGGAGAAGCACCGGGATGTATCGAATTACCAGGCCGATCCCTGCGAGCTCGTGGGCTCTTATCTAGGGCTCGGTTCTTGCCGCATCGACATTATTGAGAGTGGCAACTCTTCGTCGGGACTCGCGGTAGTATTTGGCAGCCAAGAGGCTTCGAGATGTGAGCTCGAGCCTTTCAATACGGACTCCCTAAGCTTTCTCCCGTTGGAGCACGATGTAAAGCTCGAAAGGGGCATGATCGATTGGGACTTTTGGACGGTTGGCGTCTTCAATTTCTTGAGGGAAGACGCAGATCAAAAGGACAGTCCCGTCATTGGGTTGAGATGGAAGTGGGATCAATACGACTATGCAGGACTCTGGGTCAAGACACATCATGGGATGTCCAATACTGAAATTGATGCAATCATCGAGAAACATGGGCGATTTCTAAAAGAGGACAAAGAAGATTAAATAGACTCTTGTATGGTAAACGTGAAACTCTATTATTACTCTGTGCTCAACATCGAGACGCAGATCCCGCGCTGGGCGGCCGAAGCGTCGGTCGAGCATGAGCAACCTGGGCAGGCGATCCGCACCACGGCTGTCCGAAATCAGTGACGGTGTCTTTGGACAGGGACCTAACCTGGAATCTCAGGACAGGGAAGAAATGGGGGGGTTCGAATGCCGACGTATTGAGCGCCGAAACATGAATGCCATCCGCCAACTGAAGACTGCTGTTAGTCACGATGTAGAAGCCCAACAACTCAGTAAAAACGAAGAGACAATATGAGTTGTGACAAGGCTTGAAAATGAACCACAGGCGGGTATTCCGGAACGATCAGACGTTCGAGGCTAGGAAAAGGGCGGACGTGGCTGCTGTTGAAGGAAACCTAGATGCTCAGAGAGCATTAGAAGCTCAGAATAGACTGCTGGGGTAAGAGACAAGGCGGCTCTGTGTACTTTGTCTCGCTGAAAGAGGAGCCCAGGGCCCCCAGAGAAGCACTCGGCGGCGGTTCAATGCTTTGGTGCAAGAAAAAATCTCGTGGTATGCTTTTAGAGAAAGCCAGAAGCGGTCCCGAGCCGCCTGGGAGACTACTCTCCGATATTTTATCAGTGCTTCCGTCTCTTTCGACCCAAATGTACTGCGGGGCCACCTAGGTCTGGAAGTAGGATGTTTCCCTAGTATTCTACCCATTACACTGAAGACGGTTATTCACGATGGAAGAAGAGGAGGTGTTATCAGAGGCGTAAATCTCCGTGCGCCTCCGCTCAGAGGTAGGTAATAGCTCTTCTCATTCATCGCCCTCACGCTTCCAGCTTACACGTCTAGTCACAAGAAGTGGGGCCCTCTCGGACTCCTCAACTGGCAAGTTTTGGAATTCGATGCAGGCCAGCAGTACCAGATCCAAGCCATCACTAGGTGGAAGTCTCCCGAGGCGTTCCGGGAAGTCATGGCTGACAAGGCCACGGAAGCTGGTTGTTGGCGCCATCCCCAACTTTACCACGGCTAAGCCCATCTTTCTTAAGGACAAGGTCGTCGGTGCATCCAGCTCAAGGTTGTAGATCTGCCCGAGGAACAATACCCATCAACCAGCAATCAGTTAGGAATGAAAGACGAGATCATAATATGCAAATATGTAGGAGCTTGTTTTTCGTCTGGCATGAATATTTCCCATGCCTCCATGCCTCTTCGTGTGAGAGGGGCGGAAGAAGTGCGTTTGGTGCGAGGAAGAGGAAGCCGCGTGCTCACCCGACCAAGATCGCCCCTGGCTTGTCTCACTATAGAAATGGTCGTTGAAGATGCCATTAATCGATCAGGAGATCAGCACCAATGGGGTCTACCTGAGCTTCTCCGATCTCTTGCGGCTTCTTGCTCAAACGATCATTCTCACGCGGGATGCCACTGGCACGCCCGGATTCGCAGATGGGCTTTTCAACAAGCGAAGCCGAACAAAGTTATCAATTACAAATCTTCGCCGAAACCGCCGTTAATCCTCAGTCTATATATCTATATCTATATCTATTTTTATACCGCCGCTTCGAGGAATTCCCTGTGTATTGCGTACCATGACTTTCTAATACCAACAGTCTAAAACCGTGCCGCGAGCTTGGGCTGTGCCACGAGACGTCCCGCGAATACAATGATGGCTCCGGCGAAGAAAGCCGCCCCTCCAAAGAGACCGGCTTTGTAGAAATCGCCATTTGATCCAATGATGGCACCTGAGATGGGTGGGCCACTTAGGCCAGCAAAAGACCAAAACATCATCGAGAAGCCAGTCAGAGCACCTACGTACTTTGGGTCCGGGGTGATCTGGGCGACACATGCTGAGAGAAGCGAGACGATGGCTCCAACGAAGAAGCCGACAAAAGCAGAAAAGATAATGATGCCCGTATTGGTATGGATTGCTGGCCAGCAGAAGAGGAGCGTGCCGGATCCAAGTGACATTCCCGTGAGCATGTTGAATCGGCCCACTTTATCAGCGGCGAGGCCGGCGAAGATTCGACCGAAAAAGGATACGCCGTTGAGAATGGCCACCATGTAACTTGCGAGCTGAGGGTCCATGCCCACCTTGAGCGCAAAAGAGGGCAGGTAGAAGAAGGGCACATAGAGGCCCCAGTTCATCAGCCAGATACCTACAACTGCAAGGATGTAAACGGGTCGCTTGAGAAGCTTGAAGTCGAAGGGGTGCTTGGACGGTTTCAGGCGGGGGCGGATGACGAGTATAGCGAACGACAGAAGCACGAGGACAATGAGGGCGCAGGCGCGGACGGCCCAACCGAAGGCGATTTTGTGGTGGTAAAGCAGGCGATTCAAAAGGATGGGGAAAACTAAGCCACCAATCGACGAACCGGCCACCACAATGCCCATGGCAGCACCCATTCTTCTGTGGAAATAATGTCGCACGATGGCTATCGATGGCGTGAACATGACACCAATACATAGCCCTCCGAGAATCGACTGCGAGAGGAAGAACTGATAGTATTTGCTAGAGAGACTCGTGAAAACGATGGATAGAAAATATCCAACCGTAGCTGGTAAGAAGGGCTGCGCCACATGTAAGCTTGAGGACATGAGCTGATGTGAAACTAGGAGGAGAAACAAACAATGGTACCATAGCGATCGAAAAGGGGTCCGCCGACAATGCCTCCAGCAAACTGGAGGAAGACCTGAACTGATCCGATCCACGAAATTGTTGATTGGGAGTAGTCTCGGAGTTGATGACTGTGGTAGTAATCTTGGTATATCCTATGTGGGAGGGGAGGTCAACTTTGATTGTCGCACGGGTATTGTCGGATCTAATATGGGAAGGCTTACCCCCAGCTGTTAAGATACCCAAAAGTGGAAAACATGATGGCTGACGATCCGGCGATGCATAACCAGGCCCTCAGTCCTCCTTCCGGGTAATCTATTTCATGGTGCTGCAGTTGCCGCACGTTTTCCGTTTCAATGCCCGTCTTTTCTCGTGTACTCGGCTCAGGGGGCTGTTCCGTGCTCGTGTCGTATCCGGAGAGCGACGAAGGCGTGGTTGACGGGTTACCCGACATAGTTGCGAAGTAACTACAACACTTTTCCCTTTATTTTTATTTTTATCTTTTTTATCTCTTTTCTTTTCTTTTTTTCTTCTTCTTTTTTGGGACAGATAATTCTATGAAGAGAGAAAAAGCACCTTGTCTTGCTCTATCTGCGTGTATTTGTAGTTTCTTCTGCCGCTGGCGTCGGGCGGATATTGGCCTAATTAGGCAATTCCCGTGTCGTTGCAACCCCATAGTTACTGGGACTCGAGCTCGACGGAGAACAAGCACGCAATGGCCAATCCTCCGCCTCCACTTACACACCCGTCCCCTTTGCTCATAGTTGCCCCTGCCGGGGATAGCAATCGTGAAGTTTTTAGGGTTAGCTTTCAATTTCTAAGCCACCTTCTTCCGTCGGGTCAACAGCTAGATTCTGGAACGACTGGGTGCTGTTCAAAAAATATTCAAGTGCATTACCGAGTATCCGACGCTTAAAGAAATAACTACCCCGTCTAGGCACTATTCTACCAATAGTACATCATTGGAGACATTTCCAAATACTTCAACGGAGTGTTGAAGCCGGTTTTGGACCTCTCCTATTCTTACCAGTGTGTCTTGGCCAAGAGGAAACAAAAACTCGCTTTCCAGTCCTTTACCAACGCCTTCCCCGACAATGACCTCGTATATTGCCCTGGCACCCTTGACTTTGTCGTTTACAGCTTTCAGAGTACCATCGACGGAGACCATCGAAGTAATCTTGTCCACCATGGTTCCGGAGTATTCGGCGTCAAATTCGGATCGGCGACTTGCGCTGGGCATGCTCGTGTTGAAAGAGCCAAGCTGCACGACGAGAACTCGAACATTAAACTCGGCTACTTCTTTCGCCAAAACCTTGGACACGGCTAGAGAGACGTGGTTAGAATAACGAAACATAACTGGAGTTTTTCGCTGGCAGGTGCCACCTTCTAAAGCAGCCTTGCTCGCGGCGTAAATGCCCATGCTCGGGCGTCCTTCTAAAGCTGCGCCGGTACTGATCTGAGTGACCATCCCGGACCTACGCTTCCTCATGTAGGGCACGGCTGCCCTCGTCAGGCGGTAGGGGCCAAAGTACAATGTCTCCATCTGCGCGCGGACTTCTGCCTCCGTGAACGACTCCGCAGCCCCGTGAATCGAGAAACCAGCATTGTTAACTAGTACGTCGATGGCGTAACCATCTCTTTCCAGGTCGTGGATAACATTGGCACATTCTGAGTCGTCCACATCCAGACGAATCCAGCGCCCACCTTTGCTTTCCACTTCAGATACAAGCTCCGGGGTCCGACTCGGGTTGCGCGACGTGGCGATCACAAAATGGCCATTATCTTGGGCTTGACGGACAAGCTCAAGGCCGATGCCAGAGGATGAACCCGTTATAAGCCATGTAAGGCGCTTCGGGGACGTTGCATTTCCAGAGCTCATGGTAGCGGATCGGATATGTTTGTGTCTTGACTCTTCACTGTAACTGTTAATATTACCACAATGAGCTTGGAAAACGTTCTTGCAACACTCTGGAGACCTGATCCTCTCTGTTTTATTCTGCCATCTGCTATTGATTTCATGAAACGTGGCCTCGTGCCAGCGACGACCGACGGCACTGACACCTTTCGGACTTAGCGGATTTTATGCTCCGGATGGGACTTGATTCTGCAACTTAAACCCGAGCTTCACCTCTTCTAGTAATGCAAGAAGAAACTGTGGATGATGCTGATAAGAACAAGTGGCGTATGTATCTAGTATCAAGGGGCTGATATAAGAGAAGGGAATTATAGTGCTACATTTTGGCCCGGAACAGGGAAGGAAATTAGAAGAACCCACGGAGGATAGAATTGGGTCGAGGTCTCCAGCCCCGATTCTCTGAGAACGCTGTAATCCTAATGTCCACACTCTGGGAATACCCATCGAAGAAGGGTGAATATGATATGAGTACTTCGTACTTCGTAATTCAGAACGCTATCTCTGGGATGAACCGCTCCCTGCTGGTTCCAACGGGAACCATCTCCTTTGCAACACCAGCCTCCACAACTACCGACGCTTGATGGGTTATAAATGAACTCGTTGGTACTTCGTATAGAAAGCCAAACTCTCGAAGATGGTTCTCTGTGTCTGTCGAGGATTCAACAAGGGGCACCAACCAGGGCAGGGGCACACCAATCATGTGGAATAGTACTTCGTATTGTACGGAGTACTCGGTAATTACGTAACCCTGGTTTATTCTTTTGTCCGTTCATATCAAAATCACGCCAATCTCCGTCATAACTCCTTTGGGATAATAAGCGCACTCATCCCCGTGGCCAGATTTTCTCATTCGGTCATTCCAACCAAGTACACTGACCAATTCACAGCGTTGCAATGCTCCCTAAGAAACGCCGCCAGAAGGTAACGCACAGCTGCCAACATTGTCGGCGCCGGAAAATCCGATGTGACCGGGAGCGCCCATGCGGCCACTGTATCAAACTCGGGAGTGTTGACGAATGCCGTTACGGACCCGGTCTTGGCCAAGCCCCCATGGTTAGTGAGCGCAGTGTGTCGTCGGGTCCCAGACAAGTTGTTTTCCGAGCCAATCCGCCCCCGACCCAAGCGGCCGGAAGCTCTGTCGCCGCGTCCGAAGCCCAGAATCCTTCGCCGCCGCTCACCGCCACCTCTGCTGTTGAAGTGTCAAACACCGAGCCGCGTCCGCTCTCGGCAGAGCGGGATAATGACACTCAACCTTCACAACCGCTGCAGTTGTCATGGAATGGAAGTCGCGGGACAGATAGCTTCCCCGAGCCTGTCTCAGGTCGCATGATGACAATGCCAAAGGAAGTCTTTCGTGGAGGAAACGGTGGTCCGACGACACATTGGGGACGATGCCATGGTTCTGCCACCATTTACGAGGTAAGATGTCTCACTCCCATCTAAATGTTCCTGTTGCTGACCCAACCGAGTTTCCCGAGGCCATCAGGTTCCTCCTCGCATCCAAAGAAGCCGAGGTGCCGACGCTGTACTGCGTGGTCCCTGCCGCACGTGCAGACCAGCCCCGGGGCCTACCCATATCAGACCAGATGCAAGCTGGAGAGTTGAGCGCTTTACTGCCCGCGCGAGAACAGGCTGATAGGCTAGTGAACCTTTATCGCGAAAATTTCGAGTTCTGTTCTAGAATAATTCACTTCCCCGCGTTCTTCAAACGCTACGCTCAACTTTGGGAGCAGCCAGAGACTACTCCAAGTTCGTTCATTGCATCCGTCCTAGCTATATGCGCCGTGGCCTCCGCGTTCGCACCCCAGAGCGCCCTAGAGGGCGTGGGCATCAAGGATACGGCAGTAAAATGGATTGATGCTGTCCGGGCGTGGCTCCAAAAGCAGGATACCATGTCACAGGCGACCATTGCATGCATGCAAGTCCAATGTCTCTTGCTTCTCGCCAGCGGGATGAAATGGATTGCATCGGAGAATTCATGGCTCTCCGCTGGGGCCCTAATGCGGATGGCCATTGCTGCCGGCCTACACAGAGACCCGGCAGACTTTCCCAAGATTTCGCCCTTTTGGGCCGAGATGCGCAGGCGGATGTGGTATACCATTCTGGAACTCGACTTGCAGCTCTCTTTCGACCATGGTCGGCCTCAACATTTCTCCGCAGACGACTTTGATTGCGGCCTCCCTGCAAATATTAATGACGAGAAGCTCGAAGAAAACATGGAGCAGCCGCCGGTTCCTCAATCGGACAGCTCTCTAACCGACGTGTCCGCCCAGCGCCTACTGGCAAAGTCCTGGGCACTACGAAACCGCGTGTGTAGGCTAAGCAACAAAATAGTTTTCGACACACCTTACGAAACGATTCTTAAGCTTGATTCGGAGCTCAACGGCCTGCTTCAAGAAGCGAAGAGAGTTTCGGGCAGAGAGGCAAACGACTGTCGGAAGTTTTTCCTCGATGATCAAATATATAAAGCGATAATAGCCCTTCACCACACCCATACCGCGCGGGCCACCTACGACCCACGGTTTCTCTACTCTCGCCAAGTCACCGTGGAGACTTCCGTCACCGTCCTGTCCAAAGCACTTTCTTCACCACATGACGCCGGTGGGGAAGAGGCACCAAGGCTTTTCGACATATTGGCCAACATCTGTCGAACCAACCTGGCTGGGAGCGTACAAAACCTGTCCCGCGAGCTGCTCATTCAGGCGAAACAGTACCAAAGTATGGCGGATGGAACCCAGCCAATGGCCACGGCCCAGTGGAATCAAGGGCGGCAGCAGATTCTGATCGACCTTGTTGAGAAGAGCATTGCAGCGTTTAGGGCAGTGTTAGGCACGGATGAAAAGGGTCACCGCATCAGCAGCTGGCTCCATATTGCGACGAGCTTGGCTAAGGCCGTAGTTCACGGCGAAGACCCCACCAAGGCGATGGGCGATGCCCTAAAGACAAGTCTCCACGAGTATAGCATGGCCATGCGTGGCGCTCCATCACAACATCTTCAAAATGACCAGACTCTCTCGGTAAGCACTCATTAGTATCTCGTAGGATGTGTAACTAGTCAACTAATCCTGTCGCAAAGTGCGGTGAGAGTAATGACTTTGAATATTTGATGGATCCAAGACCTTGGTTTAACGAGGAAACCAGTGTAAGTTAGAATCATAGGTGAACAGGAGCCTGGCCCCGTATACTAATAATCTTGATAGTTCCCTATGCTCTTTGGAACGGATAACGCTCAGGATATGACCGATTTGCTCTTCGGCCGATACTATCATCCAGTCCAATAGAGTGACAAGACCAAATGAACACGCTGATCGAACCCTAAACATGCCCAAAGGCAGGGGACAACTCATCATCCGAGATGGTCTATCGTGGCTACTTTCGAAACCCACTCAATCACTTTCTGCGAAGCCCTGAACACCGGAACGTGCCCCCGCTTGAATAGACGTGACATTGACCTTGTTCCTGCTCTCCTTTTCCACCATTTGGGTCACCTTTCTCTGCGCATTGTCGGAGACGCTCGCATCCTCTTCACAGATAGGATAGGATATTGGGACATGTTTGTATCCGGCATGCGTCGACTCATCCGCAAAGCTGGCCGAGGAGTGCGTCGGGTACTTGACTGCCCACGCCTCGCGCTCTCCTTTGGGGAGAAGCGCGCAAGAGACAAGGTAGAGTATGCACTAACATCCGAGGCTCATCATGATCGTGTTCTCTACGGGGGTATCGTGTATTGCGTGACTGGCGGTGACTCCAACAGCTGGAACTATCGCGGCCATGTACGCAAGCAAGCCTGATAACTCTACCTGGCTTTCTCTGGACACGTCTCTTGGTCTTGGTGAGACCCTTGATGCTCTCAGTCGCAGGACGACCGCCATAAGAGTGGGCAATAATGACCACGTCCTTGCCCGCTCCAGCCAGTCGCGTAATCTCTGCTGCAATCGATGCAGCATCATCGTACATGGTTGGTAACGATCTAGGTCTCGGACCGGTGGTAAGACCAACGCTAGTGAGGTGGGGGACACGCATCTCAATGCCCTTTTCGCTAGACCTAGGACCATAATTCCGTCGTAAAATTGAGGCAGTCCAAAAGCACCTGTAACAAGGACAATAACGGGTTTCAACATGGTGGCTTTGATAATAAAAAAGAAAAACACAAATCAGGTGGCGATGTGCAATTTTCCCCCTTTTCCAAGATATGTGTCCTTGTCCAACCGACATGAGAGTTCGTGAGCCGTCATCAGTGTTTGGTTTATTGATTCTCGATTCCTTAGACGTGTCGAGATCCAGCGCGCGCCGACAAAGCCGTTGGCGTTGTTCCGGGCACCATTTTCCCATCGACGGGACAATAATATATTGCAGGTGCGTTTTCCAGGTCCCTACATAGAGCAAAGTATTTTATAGCTGGTCCAACACTCGGACGGCGAAGGAGGAGGTTATTATACCGAAGAGAAAGCGGGCGTGCAGCCAGTAATAGGATGCCACTGTCGAAACCACATAGCTTTGAAGTCCGATTCGGTCTCGAGTAATAATCAATGGACAGGTTCAAGACCCAAAACTAAATGACATAGCCACCCACGCAACCCAGAGCAAATATTGAGACACCACTCTAGACTAGAGAGTAGAGACGGATGCTAGGCGATGGATGATTCCTCGTTTTTCACAGCCAATCTTGTTATTTGGAAGACTTCAGCTCGTCGCGTGAAAACGCCACCAAATGAAGTGAAGTCCCGGGTTACTGCGTCGTCCATCCTTTCAACCCAACATCGACGTTGACAGCGGCCGACGCACCTCTCTAACCCCGAATCTGCACCAGCGCGGTGAGCTACGACGATCTCTCTCACAACATCCTAAAGGGAGCGAGTGGCGGGTCGAGGATGTCGGCTGAATTACGCGACTGCAGGCGGTCGTGCGTCCTGGAAGTCTTATATCATTAGGTACAGGTAAAATACTGAGGTACAGTTTGTTCTATCTTGGTATTATAATTAGTTCGCATGCGTACTACCAGCCCCTTTAAATTCACGCCAAAGCGACAGCGGCCAGCCCTAGAGCTGCAACAATCCACAACTGCATCGCCTCTCCTTGACGAAGACTCCCGTTCTGCGCCCGCCCCGGGCGATGTCTCCTCGGGTCCATTCCCAGTAGTACCTGTCGGACCGGTTGTACCCGCCGGAAGAGTGGACTCTCCAGTGACTTGGGCGCTGGCATAGCAATGAGCCATCGCAATCGTAAAATTTAACATCCTTCCCGCTCCAAGGGGATCGCTGGCGAACCTCCACCAGGTGTATGGGCATTCCTCTGCGACGGTGACCGCGCTCGCACTGTGTTGCGCCAACCATTCCGAGGCTTGGCTGCCGTAGGCGGAGTAATCCGAGAGGATCGTAGAGGGAGCGACGCTGGTGAAGCCGCACCACAGTGAATGCTCCGGGAAGGGACAGTCAAGTCGTTCAAACCCGGTAAGTGTGCAGCGATTGAGGAGCTCGTCGCCGTAATCAAGTAGAGCCGAGTTGACTGCACCAGTTGGCTGGGGGTATTCGAAGTATTGATCGATATTCTCGGTGGCGCAAGCCCAGAAGTCGGACGAAATTGTTGGTGATACCGCGGGTCCGAGGAGCGAGATGAGCTCGTCCGCCGTCACGGTTGACATGGCAACGGCGACGTAAAGGAACAAATGGCGTGGGAAGAATATCATCGTGCAAGTGTCGGTCTTTCTCGCTGTCTCCGCTTGGACAACGAAGTCATAAAGTTCAGGCGGGTGCTAGAAAAGTTGGAAGTGGGCGGTTGGAAAAGTGAGAAGGGGAAAGTTCGTGGTGTAACCTGCCTGAGGTGACAATCCGTTTCGAGCGTCTCTTGGTACGCCCCCACGGACGCGAAGGGCAGCAATCTCCTACGGCCCACATCGGCATGCCAGCTCATTTCCCGCCGTTCTTGGCAACACAGGGGCAAGCTACTGCAGAACTTTTCTTGCTGTACACAATAGATGCATGATTACCTTGGCAGAGACGACCTTTCATACGCGGTATACGGATCAATTGTTCTTCGAGCTCTAAGCTCCGCTCTCCTTGCCGAACGAGAAGTCACTCAGGCATGGCCAATACAATTGCCCCCTCCGTAGAGCTGACGAAAACTCCATCTCACAGAATACAGATTGTTGGGACGGAAGAGTCAGTGAAATCATCATCTCCATGTGGGGGGTTCAGACTATCTTATCAAACCAAATATTCTCCGCCAGGGCAGGCTCGATTACGACCCCCAGGCGAGAAACCTTGCCGTCAGGCCCAACCACAAACTCAGCAGTAGTGACCTCTTGCAACATAGGTGAGCCCATTTCCGAGTTCGCGAAGGCGATGAAATGTTCCCCTGAGACATGCTCCAGGTCAAAGACCACGTTCCATTCATGTTGATTCGAACCATGGAGCACCTTTTTGGTCGTTTCAGCGATGGGTAGGTAGTCGGCAGGGTCCGTTACCACGAAGGTGATATTGCGGTATCCCGGATGGAAATACGTTCCGGAGTACTCCTCCAGGGGCAGCGCATGCGGCAGGCCAGGCTTTGGGACATCCGGGAAAAATATCTCCCGTGCATTCACGTATTTGTTGTACTTCCCTTGCATATACCCATCATATTGACTAATGACATCAGTCCGGTCATGAGACGAGACGTCGAGAAAGTCGTCGAGAAGGCGGTAGAAAGCCGCTTCGGAAGCAAAAGTCCCATGAATATCTCCATTCGTCGCGACCACGGCGCCCCATTTATAATCCGGAAGATACCCGGTGATGGCCGTGAATCCGGGGAGACCGCCGTTATGGGTTATGAGCCGACGACCTCGATAGTAAGTGACAGCCCACCCAGTAGCATAAAGAGCATGGGACTGGTGCACTGAGGCTAGCGGACTCTCAACAATAAGCGGTGTGATGAGGGCATCCTGCGAATCCTTGGACAACGGGAGGCCTTGGTTTATCATGGCTCGTATGTATTTGGTGAAATCCCTCGCGCTCGTGATGACTCCACCAGGGCCGATGAGGTTAGTGTCCCACCAAGGTTGCTCGTGCAGCTGCTTCGTCACATTATTGAACCCGTAGCCGATGGCAAGGTTCTGCGTCGCATGCTTAAGGTTTACAGTCGTCGATGACATTCCAAGGGGCCCGAAAACGGCCTCTTGGAGGATATCACTAAACGGTTTCCCAGAGAGGGTTGCCGCGACGTGATGGGCAATCATGTACCCATAGTTAAAGTACTGGAACTCTTGCCGAAGCTCCTTGGTCATCGGTAAGTGTCTGAGCAGTCTGACGGCGTCTTTGACTGTAAATCCCGGCCCACCGTAGCTCATATCGTGGCGTGGGTAGCCAAGTCGGTGGCACAACGCGTCCTTTAGAGTCGCATGTAAAGTAGCGTACTCGTCGGAGAGGATGAAGTCATCCGGGATGAGATCATGGATCCGACTTTCCAGGGTGACGGGGTGCGAGGTGTTGGTCGTTGATTCGAGGACGTAAAGGAGAGAGGCAGCAGTAATGGCCTTGCTGATGGAGCCAATGTAAAAGAGGGTATCCGGTATTACTTTAACATCGGGATCCAGTCTCGCGTTGCCGTAACCCTATTCACGTCAGCTCGACGCATGCCAAGTTCCAACGATGCCCCAAACGAAAAACGTGGGTGATGATACCTCCAAATATGTCTCATCTCCGTCGACGACTCCAATCGAGAGCCCAGGAACGTGCAAGTCCTCTCTGACCAAGTCAATGTATTCCTTGAATTGGTTGTTGAGAGGATTGCCTCTGGACCGAGGCCGTCCGCCATTAGCGGCCAAGGGCACTTGGGGTGGCGCATTTCCAATCGCTCGTCCCGGAGCAATAGAGAGGGAAAGGGCCACAGCTACAACGTGAATTGAAAAGCCACGCATCTTAAATTTTCTCAACTTTGGTTAGGAAACGATGAAACACACACAACACCAGAACTTATTCTGTTGCCTACGGAAGAAGAGGGGAAGGATTTGATGCAATATATTCATCCCTCTGTGCTGACAGCTGACTAAGGCGACACGCCCACACAACCGCGACCCAAACTCGAGCCGATGCTCAGGTCACATTGTATACTTCATGATATTGACAGTCAGGATTCTTTACACCTTTTAAGTCGGCTGTTTACTAGGAGATAAATTGACATCCTAGGATTCAGGAGGACTCGATATTAAGCTACTCCTTTGCTGGGATGATAAGAGCAGGAAATGGCCTAACGTCCGGCGGAACAAAGGCATCGTCAGCTTCCTTACTCTCCCATAGTTCTTGGGAGTAGTACACCAACGGCAGCTGTTCATGCGCCAGGTGGCGAGCTCCATTTATGAACTGAGAAAAGCTCAACTGATCCCCTGCTGCCTTTGCCTTGGCAGAAGCTGCAATGACCTGTTGAACCCAGAACATTTTGCCAGTGATCCCAGAGAGGTATGGACCAGGCAGCTCTAAGGCAACCGAGACAGCTCTTGACGAAACACCTAGGCTACCTTCTTCACCCACGTCAACCCCAGTTCCCTCATCCGATACAAGCCGGCTGTAGAGGTAGGCAAGGAGCCCGCCGTGAGTTTTAATTTCTTCAGGACTACTTTCGAGCGCGCCAACCTCACCAACAAGAATCGCTGCCATAACCACCAAGTCTTCGTCCCGGGGGATCTCATGTCGAATTGACACACCTTCTTGGATGGACTCCAACATTTTCGAACGTGCCAGCTCGATGTTTGATGGCGGCGGCACGATCAAGGCGTTTGGCAAAGGCTTGAGATCCGGGATCTGAAACTCCATTCGAGCTGGGATGCTGTTCCACACACGAGGTGAATAATGGAGCTTCCACTCATCTCCCTTCAAGTTTAGAAGAGCTTTGAAAGCTTCAAAGCTAAGCGCCGAGATCTGGGTAGGCAGTCCAGGTAGGCTTTTCTCCCCAGCTGCTTCGAGAGATACTCTGGCATGATGGAAGATTTGGATCCAGAAGTATGCCTGAGTCAGTGAGTATGGTGCGACTCGAGGGTTCTTCGCTCGCTCGCGAATGGTGTGCTGTTTTAGCGCGTCTAGGGCATATCCGATGATTTCGCCGCGGCGACGATTCGTCGGCATGATTTTTTGAACAACGATAAAGGCAAACCTGAGGAGGCGCTCAGATGCGGGCTTTGCCTGCTCCTGCTCCTGTTGGGGCTGTGCTTTGGTTTTGGGGAGGCTAGTCGGGAGAGGTTGAATGTCTGGAAAGTACCAGTTTTCTCTCGCCTTCGGACTGAAGAGCAAATCCTTTGTGTAGTACTTCTTCCAAAGACCTGTGTTCATGAGGTGTGGAGAGTGAAGCAGCACCGCACCAAAGTTGGCGAGAGAGGGTGCCTTTTCAACGCCTTTGTCGGCCTGGTATGTCAGGGCGGCAAGACGGAGTTGGAAGAGCCAAAACGCCGTCATCGTTCTGTGTCCGAGTCAGTTACCAAAAGCTCAAAGAAGAGTGACCATTTGTCTGCCTTACTTGTGGGCCGTGTTTCTGAACTTGTCCGGATTCGTTGACTTCAGCCTCTCCAGATGATCCAGGAAAGTCTCGGCCGACCTGAGCACGCTGTCGCCTCGAGAAAACGCCTCGATCAACACCGCATACCCCGCTCGAAGGTGAGTGTGGTGATCCCAAGACTCTATATCCGCCCTCAGAAACGCTTGCCAAAATTCGTCCGCGCTGCCCATTTTGCTGTTGGCGAGAGAAATCCTCTGCATCAGCTCTTCGGTCGTCGGCTCCTGGGCCACCACAGGGACCGGCTGGGCAGGAGGCGTCACCGTCTTGCCCTTGCCAGCGATCATCCGATGCACCTCGTCTAGGATCTCGTAGACGCGCTCTCCAGTGTGTGCACTCAGCCCAGGAAGCTGCAAGACCCGACACTCCGTTGAATTCTTATGGGGTCTTAGGACGTTTTCGAACAATTCGGATTTCTCCTGCAGGACGGACTCGCGAGTCTCAGGAGCCAACTTATCCTGTTTGTTCATCACAACGCAGATATGTCCGCATCCGTTGCTAACCCACATTTCGATAGACTCCCTGAGGAAGATCACCGACTCCTGTTGCCATGACTCTTCGGCAGAGCAATCGTGGAGGTAGATGATGAATGTTCCTGGCTGGATGTAGTGGTAAAGAAGGTTTTTGATCTGGCTGCAACCTTTGATTTCCGCTTCTCAGCCAAGGTGGTCTTGAGGGGAGACCATATCCCGAAAGAGAGAAGGCGCGTACTCACCACCGACTTCCCAGAGGGTAAAATTGGTTCCTTTTGGGTGCTCAATTGTCTCGACATTGAATCCAATGGTGGGGATCGTCGTAACAGCTTCTCTCAGCTTCAACTGGTATAACAACGTAGTCTTCCCCGAGGCATCTAGGCCCACAAGGAGACCTCGGTGTTCTTCTTTCCTCTTGAATAGCCACTGGAAAGCTGGACCATCGCAGATGTGTTAGCGTTATTTAGTCGCCCAGGTCTAAACTTTAACTCACCCATCTCGGAGCGCGCAGATCCTCGAGTTCGATAGATAGCCGACAGCCGTGAGTTCGCGAATAGCTTTCGCACGATTCCATTTGAATGTTTATCGACGCTAAAGGTCAACTTTGCGACGTTATTTATGTCGTTGAGATAAGTCGATGCCTGGAGACTGCAGTGAAGTGAACACGTCGTGGCTTAGGTTTTCAGCTCGACTCCGCCTCCACTTAGCAGCCCGGCCAGGCACCAATAATAAACCTCGTCCATTTTCAGCTTAATCCAATGCTGCCATTGTCCACCATGGCCTGTTTTGAATGAATTTGCCATTTCGAGTCTTTCCAGGCAGCGATTCCCTCTCAATCCCGAGCCTGGTCCTGAATCCAGCTCCAATGGCGAACAAACGCATTTGAGGCTGCGCGTAAAAGGGACGAGGAACAAAGTCGCGGAATATTGATCACGATTTTACGGCGGAGGTCCGCAGCTGGAGGCCGCGGGGTCCGGGGAGAGCGAGCATTTAATATCCTCCGGCGTAATCAGATCACCCGTCGGAGCTCATTTTTCAGTCATGTCCGCCGCCGCCCCGCAGTTGTTGAAATTTTTATTTTTCTGTTCACTCATCAGCGGCTTGGCACGCAGCAATGTCGCGTCATCAGAGAGATTTAGCTGGCAGAGTTGATTTATAATGTTCATATTGTTGGACCACTTCGTCGCGAAGGATTGATGCGTCGCTCCTGATTTCTAAGCTGGCTGTTGATCTCTTTGCCATCTCCATCATTTCGCTGATGACGATGTGGTCTGAGCTGGTCTCTAGACAAGACATGCATAGACGAAGGCATGGACGGCACACACAGCTGATACAGGAGCCAAGAGATATATAAATATCTGTTAACCCCGCCAGTTTCGTCTCAGACATAGTAGCTACAATCCGACTGCCTTGCGTTTAGATCCAGTCGCAGTTCTCGAACTCTCATATCTCTCTCCTTCACTCTGACGTCCGAACCTCACGTCTCAAAATGCCCACTCACATCACTGTTGTGCCCGCCTCTACCCAGGCTGGGAGAGAAACAATCCGCGTGCTTCTGCAGTCTGAGAACAAACCCTCTGTTCGCGGGATCTACCGCGACCCGTCCAAGGCTCCCGCAGAATTTCTCGAGAACACGAATTTCGAGGCTGTCAAGGGCGATGTCGGCACCGGAGCCGGTCTTGATTTCCAGGGCTCAGATGCCGTCTTTTACATCCCGCCGCCTACTTACGACGGAACTGATCAGAGCGAGTGGGCCACCCAGACTGCAACGAGTGTCAAAAATGCCATCCAAGGGACCCCGAGCGTCAAAAGGCTTTTGCTGTTTTCTTCCGTAGGATCTCAGTACGATCACAGTATTGTATGGCTCATACTATGGACAGTCATTCCCTGCCTTGATCCCATCTTTCTAACAAGCAACGGGAAAATAGGGCGTTTTGCGACTGAATCACATCTCAGACAAGATCCTCGAGGACGCTGCGCCCGAGGTACTAATCATCCGACCGGGGTATTTTCAAGAGGGTTGGAACCACGCCCTAGAGGCGGCAAAGGAGGATTCGCCTGTGATTTACTCATGGGTGACGCCCGCCGATTACAAGGTCCCCATGGTAGGTGATTTGCCTAAACTTAGAGACAGCAGAGAATTATACTGAGCGTTTCTTCTAGGTAAGCCTCAAGGATATCAGCGAATGTTGCGCAAGTTCGCTGCTCTCGGAATCGACCAAGCCGAGCCCGTATTATTTCAAGCTCTTTGGCCCCAGGCACTACAGCTCCACCGACCTCAAGAAAGCCGTGGAAGATGTGACTGGGAAAGAAGTAGAAATGAAACTGGTTGAAAGGGACCAGCTTGGCGGGTTTTTCGCAGAGCAAGTCCCGGAAGCCCACGTGCAAGACTTTGTCGATATGACAGCGGCTGCTTTGCCTGGTGGAATCATGTCGGGAGATTTTGAATATGGGGAGGATACCGTTCGGGGAAAGGTGGAGTTGGTCGATGCTTTCCGCCAGTTGTACGAATAGTAAGGCCCCACAGAGAAGGAGGTTTGCCAGACGTATTAGCTCTCCGCTTCACTATAAGCTTGAAGAACATTGGTCTAGAGTGGGCTAGAGGGCCACCGCTCACGAACCTAAAATCAGTAGTATCCTATATTGCCACCAAGAAAACAATGGCTGCCACAACTGGCACAGAGATAGTCGTTGCTATCAAACGGAAACTCGGCAATCCTCCATTATCTTCGCCCCCGCCCCGACCCTCCGTCCCAGATCCGTCCTTGAACGGGCTTTCCGCAATCACCTCTTCTGCGCCTTCAAAAGCGCCCGTCGCCGCAGGGGCATCCCCATCCAAGACTAGCTCGGGCCCCGGAATCCTCTCCCCGCTGAACGCAAACGAGAACTCGGCCGGATCATGCTTGTCTCCGCCAGGCACAACATAAAAAGTCACTTCCGCGCTATCCTTCTTCACCGTGCCATTTACAACAGCGCTATCGGCATTGCAGTTTTTTATCATGAACTCTGCCCTTTCCCCATAGCTCTGGAACGGGCCGCCACACTTATACTGGAAATCCAGCTCATGTTGCCTCGCCCAGTGGACCGCCACAAGTTCTCCGCTGACCGAATACCCACTGCCGTCGCCCAGTTTTGAGGCGCTCAGCTGCCAGTACTTGCTGTAGATGTACAGGCTGCTGCTCGACCGCATCATCATGTGCCCAAAGGTGTCGCCTGATGTGGCGACCCCGGTAGGGCGGTGGACATAGAGGCCCATCCAAAAGGGATTATCGTCCCAAAGCTCGCGAGAGACATTAGTTCCGGGAATGGGGCCGACATTGCCGATGCGAAGTTGGTAGATGTAGTCAGTCGTCCGAGTTGCCGTGGGACATCCGCCGCCGACAGTGAATGTCAGGCTTCCATTATAGCGGACGTCGTAGAGCTCGGCGAGGAGGTCGCCTTCCCGCTTCAATTCGCTGCATACGACGTGGTTGATACTATTATCGCACAGTAGAGCTCTTTCACCAGCTACAGATCTAGTCAGCAAAACATTCATGAAGTCTCTTGTGAGATAACTGAGAATGCTGTACCTCCATTGCAGCTTTCTAATTCGGTAGGGGTGGTTTGGTCAAGGATGTATCCGTTGGAATTCACCTGAGCCCAGCAAATACCAACACTTGCCAGGCAAGTCAAGACATGTGAGAGCAGCATTACCATTGAATGGCTTGGTGACCTTTACCGTTTCGATTATAGTTGATCCGTCCTTAGCTGAACCTCAGCCAGAAAAGCTCAATGTGACTGGAGGGAAGAAGTCGAGCAAAACAGGATTCGCTGACCCCAAAACGTAGAAAAAGTCCAGTAAATTAATAGTCGAGGCATGCTCGTGTCCCGATGTCATTCCGGGAACGTTAGTGGTCCGCCGCGCTGGAGCCAACAAAAAGTGGTTAGGTGTGGCTGTCTTGGCACGCAGTCCAAAAGTTTGAAACCCGCCAGGTACGAAGAATATTTAGTACTAGATTGAAGCCGTTGTCCCATTGTGGTTGGCTAGGCCGGAACGGTGGCGTTGCAGCTATTCAAGGCAGCCATACATATACGACCAAGATGACTACCCAGAAGCGGTGAAGAGATACATCAACGGCCTCGCATATGCGTCCGCCTGTGTCATTCGTTAGTCGGAGATTCGTAGGACTCATGGTGGACCCTGTCGGCAGCATCCAGCACCTCCGTCGATCTCTTCTCCATCTACCATATGATAGTAAAGCATTCGTTTCACCCATACGACAACATATCGGTCTTCGTATCGATCGAAAGCGATATTTAATCGATCCTCCACATTAACCTGAAGGAACTACGACTACCAGCAACCGAATTCCGAGCGGTGCCTCTAAACTCCAACCAATATTATCCCAATGAACGAGGTCAATGAGGTTCCAGGCCTCCACTACGCCACGCATCAAAGCGGAAGATGCACGACCGACAGGGACTAGACAAAGCTAGATACTACTTGGAGGGGGTATATTCCTGGCGTGGAAAGTCGACCTCGAGAGCTTTTTAGTATGCTGAGTGACTGGCGCCGAAGTCGCTTCTCGATGACCACCCTTTTCTCTCCATGGCAATTATCAATACTCGACCTCATGCCATTTTCATGATCCCGTAAGCCCACCGTGGGTATAATCAAAATAGGCAAAAGAATATATGGAGACTGATATGGTCCCTTGGTGGCAAGGTAGCGTCTAAGGCTATCAGCACCCATATCTTGATACCTCCTAGGGCCGTCGTAGTCGCCACCCTCCAAACTTCACTCTTCACCAAGCACCTACTACAAACATGCCGGTCACTAACTTTTCGACCTCAGAGAAGTACCAGTACCTCAACAGCTTTGCACCATACCATGAGTCGGCCCTCCCTCGCCTGCCACAGCTTCCCAAGTCCACCCCCGTGGAAGAGACGTACACATACTGACCTGAATACACTCTTGGGTAGGACTGAAGCCATTCCCAATACCCGCCCAATCGGGGTCAATTCGCCCCAAGTCTCTAACCACGGCGTTTACGCCGAGAAACTGTCGGGAACATCCTTCATTGCACCCCGAAGCGAAAACCAGCAGACATAGGTGTACCATGGCCTCCCATCAGCAACACATCTTCCGTTTGAGCGCGACGATGATCATGAGGCAGCCATGACCATCCACCGTATTCCCTGCCTCTCCAGGAGACGTGGCATCAAGATTGATCGCATGTGGTTGGAGGGGGGTTTGGGTCCGTGCAGACTCCCTAAAGATATATTTAGTAAAATTATCAACTATGGAAAGGACCGATTACTTGCATGAGGGTTAGCCGTTCCTGCCTGCAGTGAACAGTTCGCTGGTTCCTCCGGGGCTGTGGCCTCGTCGTCGCTTTCACTCGGTATGTCGAACCCCTCGGTGAGTTGCGAGTCGCTGGGTAGCATGATGGCACGGTCAAGAGCGTAGGGAAGCATGCGGTGGCGTCCACGAATCATCATGAGACAGAGTACTACCTTGCTAAATGTGGTAAACTGGCCGGAAAAGGAGGTATAGACGGCCGGGTGTCCCAGAGACAGCCCGACGTTGCCACTGCAGGGTTAAGTGAGTAATCGCGGCCAAATTCAATGAGGGGTGGGAAACTTACTATGCAGAGACACATTCGAAAATGACGGGAAACACGGAAAACGCAGGCTCGCTCTCGTCCATGATCCGTCCAGCCTCACCGATGCAGATTATGAAGGTGCCCAGGAAGATATACCAGAGATCAAAGGACAGTTGGTTGCGGATGTGTGCCTTGATGTAGGTCTTGGGGTCGGATTCGTCAGGGCTCTGCTCAGCTTCGTACAGGCCAAGGGACTTCTCCTCGTAGGTGTTGGAGGCGCGGACACTGATCGCAATAGGGAAGATTGCAATGTACATCATGACAAGCAGACTGAACTGCACAGCAGGGTTGACAGAAGCTAGAGACAGAGTCGAGGTGCCACAGTGACGAGATGAGGCTGCCTGGAACAAGGCGGAAAGAATGCGTGGTCCCATGGGGAGGTCATTAACGGCCGGATTGTCTAAGTCGAGGACAATAATTAAGAGGACATCCACGAAATTCAGAATGAACAATACGCCTGTGAGAATCCATGTCGGTTTGCTCGGAAAAAGAAGTATATAGCACCGGCGGGGATGGTCGAGCAAGAACTGTAGGTCCTCCTTGATAGCCGAGTCCTTAGGCACTAGTTTCGATGTAGACCAGAGAACAAGACGGAGAAAGACGGGATAGAATGTGTGGCCTGCAAAAGCCATAAAGGTCATGCATAGCATTGGCCATGTCGCATCTTTGAAAGTTGCCATTGAGTCCGGAGTAAGAGTGAAGCCAAGGTTATTTCCCATAGTCTGAGCGGAATAGAAAGCCCACCAGGTTTTCCCTATGCCGCACTCTTCGAGCCACTCTAAGTATTTTTGGGGGGCATTGTGGATCCAAGGAAGTAGGCACACGACACCAAAGAGGTGAAGTCCAAAGAAATAGCCCAGTATAAACTTAAGCAGTAGCTTAAGAGCGCGATACTCAATGCCGCCAAGAACTTCACGATCGGTGCTAGTCAGGTTATAAAACCGGGAGTTTCTCCCAACCGTAACCTGGCGGGTCAAATGTGGGAGATCCAGCGTTTTGGGTTCAGTGGGTAGTACACTGGAAGACTTGTGTTTAGGGGGAGGGGGGGTATGTCCCAAGGCAAGGATCGAAGTGGCGGCACGCTCGAGGGAGCGGGTGGTCATTAACGCGGGTTGGTTGGCACTGAATTTGTAAGGACGACGACGAGACAGGCCACTGACGCTACTCAGCGCACTGGAAGTTCGTTGCAGGGCTGGTCTGATGGCGTCCACGTCATCGCTGTTGCGTCTTCGTTTGTAGGCGGTGCTAATCTCGACTAGGGGCTGTCCCGCGTCGCGCTGTCGTGGTCCAGGGATATGCAAAGTTTGTCCATCAGGCTCCTGCCGGAGCAGGTAAGGCTCACCGACCCTCCCGTCAAAGGTAATCGCAGTGCGTCTCCCAAGGGGAAGGCTCAGGTCAGTGTCATCGAGGGCCGAAGTGACTGCGCCCTCTTGGTCTGTAGGCCGCTGAGCAGGACTATTAATAGAAGGGTCTGTAGAGCGCTGTTTAGCATCTTGCTCCTCGTCGAGCGATCGTTTCTCCTGGCGAGCTTCTTCATCATGTCTGTCGTAGGTGCGCACGAAGCTCCCCAGGCGGCGACGGAACCAGTAGAGGCGCACTACAACGACAGCAATGCTGATAAAAACCATGTTCGTGATGGTTGGGATGACATATATGTAGACCTGCTGATATGTCTTGAGGTCTTTGACATCGACGCTGCATTTATGTCATTAATCAAGTATATTCTTACGTATGTGGCAGAGACGACTAGGCCTACGTGTTAAGCCCTGACTCCGTAGATCCGCTGGCGCCAAAGAAGAAGGCGTCAACAGCGTCTAGATTGCCATAGGGATACAGAACTGGAAACGCCATGAGGGCGCAAGCCATGATCCAACCATCTGCTCATGGTCAGCTGGTGATCCAGGTCCGCCTGTCAGGCAGCGGGGATCCTACAGTGCAGAGTGATGAAGTTGGGCTTCACTTTCCGCATCTTGGGCAACGCTTCAAGGATTCAACTGTTGTAGTCGTCTGGTGCTGATGGCGCTGTCGACTGTCGATGTGCTGGGGCTAGACGAGACACATGAGGATGAAAAGATCCCGGGTAGTTAGGTGGCTATGCAGAGGCCTTAAATTTTTCTCGGATGTGGAGGGCCAATGGGCCGACGCCAAGCTGGTCTGCTGAGGTCGGGAGGGAAATGAGAAAGATGCGCTAGTTTGGTTTTAGGGTGATCTAGATTAATTGAGATAGCTGGGGTGTGGCGATTTCTCAGGCCATTGGCGCAACCGTATACGGAGTACGCAGTAGCCGGGGTAAATAATGGCCCCTTGTCAGGTTAAAGTCGCCACTGAACAAGGCCCCTGGAGAATATCATAAGACTCAAAATACCCCGTAAGCGCGCCCTGAGCAGTGATTGTAGTCTTAGCGATGTCGTTCCTCAACATCACGTTGTAGGCTGTAGGGACCGGTAAGTGGGTGGTACATGACAAGGGGCCAGAATTACAGGGGGGGACCAAGTACAGAGCTCACACTTCTAAAGCCAAGTCCTGCTTGCATCACCCCACTGGCGCAGGGGGCAACCAGACCACCAGGGCGTCACATCGCCGAGTTGGAGTGTTGGCACATGGACATGGAGGCTCAAAGCTCCGCACCGCCAAGACTGCTGCGAGCCGCGTCCAAAGCCTGGGCAGGTAGTTAAGTATGTTCCGTGCTGGAAAATACGCTAGGACATGACTCCGGTCATTCCACGCTTCACAACACCGCCATTTCTGCAATTGCAGTGTCTCCCTTCGCTGGCCATGATTGCTACAAGCTCACTATCCGATGTTATAGATTCAGCGACCTTGTTCACTCAACGCCGCGATGGCAAACCTACATTCGAACAGCGTCATCATGGATAGCCCTAACCGTGGGGACGAAAACGACCCGCCTTGTTGCGAGGGAAACCTGCCGTCCGGAGATAAGTGGCTCGGCCATGGCAATAAGGAGGCTTACTTAGCCCCAAGGTAAGGACGCGTCTTGACCGGCAGGAAGCCTGCCGAAGCTGACAACCTTATTTTTCACAGTCGATGGTGGTTTGCATCCTCAGCTTTTCCCATGATTGCAGGCACACTCGGCCCCGTAGCCTCGGCTTTCAGTATCTGTGCCCTCGTCCAACCCTGGCGGCAACATATAATAGGCGGAAACATAGAAAGTGCGGAATTTGTAAATGACCCGCAATGGTATGTCTGGTACTTTTGTTGGAGTTGCCTGCGCATGCTCTGGAAAAAAATATATGGGATGTAGTCACTGATAAAATGGGCGGCATTATACCCCAGCGTAAGCAACCACGAAGATTGTACATTCTAACTCTGGTCAGGCTTCTTATTGTCAACAGTCTTCAACTTGTCGTCGCTATCATATCCAACATCTTCATCCTTCTCAATATGGCTAGACGAATTCGATTCTCCGTCGCTCAGCCGATCACGATTGTGGGATGGTATATCTCCGCCATATGTCTAGCATCCCTCAATGCCACAGCTGCAGGACCACTTGTCATTGAGCCACAGGATGAATACGTCTTGTCTCAGGCCTTTTGGTATGGTATATGGGCAGCAATACTCTATCTTGTGGTGGCGTCTCTTATGGTCATTACCGTGTACGGCGCTTACACTGGCCACTACGCGAAGGATTTTATGTTGACCATGAGCCAACGAACACTCATGCTCCAGACGATCATGTTCCTTCTTTACCTACTAGTTGGTGCCCTCGTCTTCTCCACCATCGAAGGTTGGCCCTACCTAGATGCCGTGTACTGGGCTAATGTGACCCTCTTCACCGTCGGGTTCGGCGACTTTGCCGCCACGACGACCCTGGGACGTGCCCTCTTGATTCCTTATGCCCTTGTCGGAGTTATCAGCTTAGGTCTGGTCATCGGCTCGATCCGCAGCATGGTCATAGATGGTGGTCGACACCGAGTGAATGCCAGGTTGGTCGAGAAGAAGCGCAGGAAGATAGTGAAGCAAGTAGTCCGCAAGGGAGAACATCGCACTCTGAGCGCCCTCCAAGACGAAGATTACGCGAACGCCACGCCTGAGGAGAAGAAAATGGCAGAGTATCGCCGCCGATGGGAAGAATTCAACCTTATGCGCAGGATCCTCACGGAAGCTTCTGTCATGCGGCGCTGGCTAGCCTTGGGTGTCTCCGCCGGCTCGTGGTTGGTACTCTGGCTCGTCGGCGCCAAGGTCTTTCAGGAATTCGAACGGCCCTACCAGAACTGGACCTACTTTGACGGCTTCTACTTCACATTCGTGACTCTCACCACTATCGGTTACGGCGATCGCACGCCAGTATCCAACGGCGGCAAGTCCTTTTTTGTGTTTTGGGCCTTGCTTGCGTTGCCTACCATGACGGTGCTAATCTCTACTGCCGGGAACACTGTCGTCAAGGTGGTCCGAGATGCCACGCTGCAGCTTGGTAATATCACCATCCTACCCAGCGATCGAGGATTCAAGAGAGATATTCAGCGAATAATTAACAAACTCTATACGGTGCTACTCTTTGTGAAACACTTCCGCGGTGCACCTCCCGGGTTCTTCAGCAATGCGCTGCCTGTCGATCTCGGTGACGACGACCGTACGACCGACCAAGAGGAGAATGACGAGGAGGGTTGGCAAAGAGAGCAGCAGAATGCTTGGTTAGGCTCCTTTCACCATCATCATCGTACAGGCCTTTTGAATTGGAACTAACTAGGACTGCTAGTGACCCGACCATGAACGGAATAGCTCTTCGGAGCCATCTGCCAGCAACCCGAGACGCCACGCAGCCACTGCCGTGCAATCCAGCCGATTACCGTTTTGTTCTGATCACGGAAATAGCCAAAGTGATGAACGACCACCTGCAGGATACAAACAAGTGCTACTCGTTCGCGGAGTGGGCATGGTACCTGAAGCTGATCGGTGAGGATGAGAGCAGCCCGGAGACGCACGCAACACACCCACATAACCAACAGCAACAGGCACCCTGCCAGGGCCCGTCTGCAGGGAAGATGGTAGAGGCAGCGGAGAAGTGGAGCTGGGTAGGAATTCGGAGCCCTCTTGTCAGCGGTATAGGCGAGTGTGAGTGGATTCTGAAAAGATTGACGGCAAAGCTTCATGAAGAGTTGGGGGCAGCAAGAAAGCAGGGTGCAGTGAGCGAAGAAGGATGCCCACCTGGCTGATTTTCGCTGTGTCCTATAAAGTGTGCCGCTTCAAATCAAGGGCACAGCGGCTTATATCGCAAAATGCATTCGTAAAGTCCAATCACAGTCATATGCCTCCCTTGACCCAGATGTCAACGCCACGAAAGAGTTCAACAGTATTGTTAACGGGGCATTTGACGGAAAGGTCATCACAGACAAACGCAACAGCTGGTTCAAGAGGGATGGCGGCCCTTCGCGAGTTCTAGTATCATGGCCTGGCTCGTTTTATCGTCGTGCGGACATTCTCAAGGACCCGAGGTGGGAGGATTTCATCTTCGAGCGGCGGCGCGGTGCTGAGGCAAACCGGCACGAGTATTTCGGAAATGGATATACCGAACGCGAGAGGGTCCGTGATGAAGTAGATCTTACGAGCTACCTCAAAGTTGTGAAGGAGGAAGATCTTTACACGTTGCATGAATATAAAACGCAAACATCTAACTGGTGTATTCGCCCGTTCTGCGACGATAATGTCTAATCCCACTCCATTCCGCCTAATATTCCATTTGATGCTTAACGCAAGCCCAACGACGCTCCTAAAGTAAGGCCTCCCTCAAGGGCAACTACGATTACGAAGGTACTAGAGGTCCGCGAGCCCTCGTTCCATCCAAGGCGCTCCTCATGCATCTCCCCCGGATCTAACCCGCTTAGAATGTTCTGCAGGCGCAGCGGAGCCGATCTGGGGAAAGCTGTGGTTGTTTGGAGTAGATCGCGGCTTAAGTTTCAATTGTAGCTTCAAGCCTAAACAAAGACTCGGAGAAATATTCGTAAAATATCTCAATCATGCTGCAGTCTAATTAGCTCGACTCTACGCCATGATTGGAAGAATTAACAGGTGGACAACGGACATGGATGGCCGGCCAGATGATTCCCGATCAGCAGCCCGAATTGACGAAATAAAAGCCTCATCTTCGACCTAGTGACCATGCCATATTCACAAAGATAAACAGGCCAGGCCCTATGGGACAATAAGCATCTGAGGGAGTGGAGAAGGAGATGGGACGCAGCAGGCACGGAGAGGTTTGTTTTGGGCACGAAGGATTCGGGTCAGTCGCTGCTATTCTCAGCAACGCATGAGGAAGTTGGAACATCAAAGAGCCAGCATTATAACTCGCTCTAAAGCTCTTATGTCCATTCCAGCCTCAGATTATTTACCTCCTCTATTGACACCCATAGCCGATTCAAGCCCTCTTGCAAAGCTTCCCTGCCAACTGTAAATGTCACTCGAAACCAGCCATATTCTTCTGCCATGTATATTTGACCTGGTGCAATCATAACGCCATTCTTGTTGCACATGTCCGCAATCCTCTGCTCGCGCTCCTTATAAATAGCGTCCTCTAAGGACCCGACCCTCAGAACGCTAAAGTCGGCGACATACGATGACGTGCATGGAAAAAGCAAACGACGAAGATCTATCCATATGAAAAGGCCGGCGTTCCTTTGAGAACCATTAGTCTAATAATTATCTCGGTAAATTCCTTCCCACTACCCTGGCACTCACGCATCAAAATAAGGTATACCATGCTCGCGGAAGAAGGAGACTGCAATGCTATAATTCTCCGTCATGAGCTCGAGTTTCTTTTTCATGAAGCTCTGCAGCCATTGTCGGTCTCGGAACATGGCAGCCCACATATCTTGAATCAAATGCGTCGACCACGAAAACATACTAGTTTCAGAATAGGTCAGACTAACGTTATACCGAAAAGGACGAGTTGGGAGATGCGAACCTGATACTAGATAGCGCGCCCATGATTCCTTCATTCTGAGTATAGACAAGGCCCAGTCGTAGGCCATTGGCGCAAAAATCCTTGCTAGCACCGTAGAGCACATGGTGGCAGGCCGGATCAATGACACCTTCAAGATCCAGCGACAGCGTGGACACGAACTGGACAGCGCCGGGAGTATCGAGGTTACGGAAAACGGACTTCGCGTAAATCTCGTCGGAGATGAAATGCAAACCGTGTTGTCCACAAACTGATGCGAATGCAGTCAAAGTCTCGGGAGGCTATAATCGCGATTAGGATTTGATGTTAAATCGGATCTCAATAAGTCAACGAACGTAACACCTCCCCAGCGGATTGTGAGGACTATCATAGCCGTCAGCAATTGGTCCGACACATTCCTCAAGTGACAGTAGTAGCTCACTGAGAAATCAACAGCGCTCGGATCCGAATATCATTATCCTTAGCCTTGCGAATGGCAGCTTCGACGGCCCTTTCATTTACCTCAGGGCCGAAGAGATCGTCAAGTGTCGAATAGCCCTCAACACCCCTGTACGGAATTCCAATGACTCTAGCCTTGCTCCGGTTAAAGACGTCAATCACAAACCCATTGTAAAGTGGCTGCGGAATTAGTATGCCGTCTCCCTCGTCGCAGATCGCCCAGGTTAACGCATCGATGGCACTTGCCAGGCCTGGAGTGACGAAGATGTTGTCTACTCCGATGGGGATGGAAGGCTTAAACTCCTCTGTCCAGAATGCCGCTGCTGCATGCCGAAGGCGGCGGGACCCGCGGGGACCGGTGCTGTACGTCAAATGTTCGGTTGGTAGGATATTTATCTATGTAGGTCGGCCAAAAAAATAATATTAAATCGTAAGAATGCTGTCTTTTTTTATTCACTCGGAGTGCCACACCTGCTCCTTGATAAAACTTCCGATCTCCTGGTGCATCAGACTATTCTCGGCCAGCCGGAGGATAACACTAATGTTGTTAATAAAATCAGTACCACACCATTAAGCCAGGTACGGCATTGGCATTGTTTGACTTACGTCCCGTCCGGATTGGTTGGCGACCACGGATTTCCCATGGACTTTTCTCTCGGGCCCCAGACATCGCCGTAAAGTAGGCCGTGCGCTCCTCTCGTGGAAATCCGGTGTTTCCATGCTGCGGCTTCCGCAGAGCTACTTGCCAAGTCCATGGTCATGACGGGTGACGGTGTGATTTGCGGACCTAACGATTGGAGTGCAGGACGTTGGAACTCTGAAGGAAGCAGTGAGGTTTTGACGAAGCTCTCTCGGGATTGGCAAGAAGCCGAGGTGTCTTGGCTCGGCATTACGTCAGCTTTCCGACTTCAAGTCCTCTGGAGCACGACGCACAACGCACAAGACCTCGCGAAAACATCGACCTCGCTTTCTTGAGCACGTCCGGATCGAGAAACAAGTGACGCCACTAAACAATGGACCAATCCCCCATTACCACGCCGAGTATCCGCCGAGCCCGAATTGCTTGCAAGGCTTGCCATGCCCGAAGGGTGAAATGCGATGCAGCTGACGGTATACCGTGTTGGCATTGTCGCACTCGGCAAACAGCTTGTGAGCTAATTGAATCGAGAAGGGGGAGGCATGCTTCTGAGATCCACCTATAAACAAATCCGGATACCTTTGCTGAAACATAAACGTTAGATGGACTCGGCAAACGTCCGCTAAACCGCGTGATAAGCCCTCACATCGCCGATCGGCCCCAGCCACAAATAATATCCATCGGACCTCAGAATTGGCCACCGGTTCGGGCAATATCCCCGATCACGATGGTGGTGAATCCTCGCCGACAGCTGTTGTTCATGTCCGTGAAAACAATGGACGCACTCCCGCTCAGAACCGGCAAGCACTCCTCTCTTCCGAAGCAGAGCCTGTCGGTCCACAAGCTGGCATAGATGGACAATCGCCACCTCTCGGGAACTCACTTACTTTATCGTATATTGTTCGTATGGCTCGCCATGCCAAGGACCGCGAGCTAGGGCATCTGCACGCCAACAACACAGACCATCCTAGCCTCTCCCTACCCCTAAAGTCCGACCTGGGCGATCCCGTATCGCTACAGGATGCTCTAGTCGTGCCGGAACGACGAGTAAGCGACCAGTTAGTTCGATCCTTCTTCAAACACTTTCACCCCGCCTATCCTGTAATCGATAGGCTTAGCTTCACCACGCTCTATAAACAAGGTCGAGCTTCGCCCTTGCTACTCCATGCCATCTATATGGTGGCTTTAACTTGCGGCCCAGAGAGTCTGGTCCAATTAGCAGGGTACAGTGACCGCACGGAGGCTAGAAAAGCCCATTACGTCCGTGTGAAGGTGCTGTATGATGCTGATAATGAAACGGACGAGACCATCCTTGCTGGAGCACTTCATCTACTCAGTTTCTGGTGGCTCGGGCCAAATGACCAGAAGGATTCTTGGTACTGGCAAGGGTGCGCGGTGACTCTGGCGCAGTCTTTAGGGATGCATCGATCGTCAGTCAAACTCTCCCCTTATTTCTTGTTCTGGAAGGTGGGCTTCCCTAACTCAAGTAGTCTAGCTCGACGGGCAATGAGTCCCCGAAAAAGATCCATCTGGAAGAGGATTTGGTGGTCGATCTACGTGGGCATTTTCCCCAATATTCTCCAACCAACCTTGTCCGACGTTGCCGTCCTATTTCAGGTACTGACTGGCCCGATAGATCCGCGATCGACATGTCGCCGCGGCATTGGGCCGACCCTGTCGCATTCGAGACGAAGACTGTGATAACGAGCCCCCGGATAAGAACGATCTTATGGTTGATTTGGGGTTCGACGACGAATTGGTGCCAGCACAGGAGGCTCACCATATTTCTTACTTCATGGAGATTACCAGATTGTCAACCATACGTGAGCTCGCCTCTAACCCTGGGATCCTAAGCGTTGGCTTACACGCGTGCCTGCACAGTCGGGGATGTCATAATTGGTGAATTTAGTCCATGTCGGCCGGCGCTAGAAAAATACGAAACCACCTCCTGCCTCCACAGGTTGCAAAACTGGCATTCCTGTTTACCAAGACGCACGTGTGATGACCTGGTGGGTGACTCCGCGGACGCGTCATTCTGGGCTGCCATGCTTGATATCTCGTACCAGTAAGCATTCAACCCAACGTACGAAGTAGACGAGTGTTAACGAGCAGTGGAGATGCGCTTGCATTCTTATATTCCGCCCGAAAGGTACGGCATCTCAACCGTTTCCCGACGCCGAGAGAGACAGACGAGCACTACGAGCGGCCGACGCCATCACCCGTGCTGCGGAAGATTTTCTCGCCGCAGGCATAATGCATTATTCACAACTCCACTTGTACGGTTCATCATCCCCCCCCCCCCCCCCCCCCCCCCCCCCCCCCCCCGGGGGTCTGAGATTCGATCGCTGACTCTCCATCAAGCGTTCCTGCTTTATTTAGCGCCTTGTCTATCTACTCGTTGTCTACGAGTCAAAAGAACGCCATCCAGAGACAATTGGCCGAGAACAAATCCCGACAGTGCATATTGGCTCTAACAGAGCTGGCTAAAATCTGGCCCGTAAATATGTGGGTTGTAAAGTCATTTTCCAACCTTTTGCAAAGACTGCTCGGTCAACATTCTACTTCCCTAAAGTCTTGCCAATCGATGACAAGCCGTCACGACGATGGGATTGGCGTGCATGCGAGCTCTGCCGTCCAGCTGTCTTCGCCGCTTTTGGAATCACAACTGCCGCCGCCTGGGTCCATCCTTGGGATCCCAGACATGACAGGCGAATGCCTTCTTGGGGACCAGACAAGCGGCGGCGCGACCGCTGACTTTTTCCAGGCAAATGCGTATCCCAATTACTTCATGGGGGCTGCCGACCAATTCGTATATGACTCTGCCTGGCTTGGGTATTTGGAAGGCAACCTTGATATGGAATTTTTGCAGAGGGAATTTGGTAAAAGTAGTGAGAGCTGAGGGGGGTCTTGTAGTGATGGATTGGCAATTCATAACACCTCGGCTTCTTGCAAAAATGTGGGGTTTTGAGGAGCCCCTTGAAAATCCCCCGACGATCTATCCGTTAACAGTTAGATCAGTTCACGTCGACAGGTTTTCGGTCTCTTGCCCTTTCGTTGCTCGTATTTTAGAGCTCGACTGAAATAGGAAACTAAACCAACTTACAAATATTCCAAAAATCCCTTCGCCCAACGGTCCATCCTCCCGGCGGTGTTCCTAACTTTTCCTCTCATGGCAATACGGGATGGACTTTTAAGGATGGCATCCAATCGCAATGACCCCGGCACGGAAATCTCTTTAGGTACCTCTGTTAATGGTCAAACACGCCACGAGACAACCAGTCCGCCCGCGAGCTGGCGCATCAAAGAAGAAAGCGAAGTAGACGCCTCGAGAACCTGTGATGAGGCCGTCGAAGTTGGATTGGAAGACATCGACGACCCGTACTCCCCGAGGAGCCTTCCAGTCTTTCGCAAGTGGTTAATTGTGGCGATTATCTGTACAGCAACATTTTGTGTGTGAGTAAGCGCCGAATTCACTCGGGGGAGGAGAGAACAGCCACCCCTACAACCACAACCCAGAGGGAAATACGTAAAGTGTCTTTGGGCGATGCTAACTTTTCACAGAACCTGCACCAGTTCAATCTATACTACTACCTACGCGCAACTTGCCAACGATTTCGCCGCGAGTCGCCTCGTCTCTGCCTTTGGGCTTTCCACGTTCGTCTTGGGCCTCGCCTGTGGCCCCTTGCTTACAAGCCCATTGAGCGAGCATTATGGTCGAAGACCTATCTATCTTACGTCTTGGTCCATGTTCGTGATATGGACCATCCCATCCGCTGTTGCACAGAATATTGCCACATTGATCGTAACTCGCTTCTTCCATGGCTTTTCTGGAAGTACCTTCCTGTCTGTTTCGGGTGGTACCGTGTCGGACATCTTCCCCAAGAATAGGTTACAGAAGCCCATGGTCTTCGTCGCGTTGGCCCCCTTTGTTGGCCCTTCAAGTGGTCCTCTGATCGGCGGATTCATCAACTACTATCTCTCCTGGAGATGGACCTACTACATCATTCTAATTTGGTCAGGTGCACTCCTCATCGCCATCATCGTTTTCGTCCCAGAAACATATCATCCCGTTGTCCTCAAAACCAAGACACGAAAACTTCGACTTGAAACCGATGGCAATAGTTACTATGCGCCAGGCGGGGGGCCGGTTAGAACGGATGCTAGACGAGTGGTGGCGCTTACCCTCATGCGCCCATTTCAACTGCTTTTTCTAGAGCCCATGTGCTTGTGTTTGGACACTTACTCGGCGCTCTTGCTGGGTATTCTCTATCTCTTCTTCACTGCTCTTCCTCAGGTCTTCCGTGAAAACTATGATATGGACCTTTGGCAGTGCGGTCTCACCTGGCTCGGCATTGTTGCTGGTATGCTCATCGCAGGGGCTACCAACCCCGTTTGGGTCCGCGTTCGTCAGCGACTGTTAGAAAGGAGTGAGAAAACCGGAGGGGAGCCTGGCCGCAGCCAGCCAGAGTACCAATTACCGCCAGTTATTGCTGGTTGTGTTTTGATTCCCATCGGCCTGTTCTGGTTTGCGTGGACCGCTCAACCCTCTATCCACTGGATAGTTCCGGTCATTGGAACAATGTTTTTCGGCAGCGGGTAAATGTTCCCCTAAAACGTCTTGTTGTTGCTACCTGTCTAGATTGGGAGTATTTGCTAACATAGACTTGCCTTGATAGGATAATCCTAGTGTATAATGGAATATTCACATACCTTGTACGTCGGCGTAAACAAAATCTTCCTCATGCTCATTCGCGAAGTCAAAATCAAACAAAAATTGGACGTACGAAACTGATAAATGACCATGTTCACAGGTCGAAGCCTACAGTCAGTATGCTGCTTCGGCACTTGCTTCAAATGCTTTCCTCAGAGCCCTCATTGCCGGTGTGTATTCGCAGTCCCTCATTCTTGACTGTGCATCCGGCTTGTTCAATTCTAATGCACAACAGCTGCTTTCCCGTTAGTGCATATTCCCCTGTACGATCGGCTTGGATACCATTGGGCTACAAGTCTGCTAGCCTTCTTGACAGTCGCTATGATGCCTTTTCCGTGGCTTTTCTTCAAGTATGGCCAGATACTTAGAAGCAAAAGTAGATTTGCTACCACTTCATAAGCTCGGTATGGCAT